CGGATTCTAAATTGAAAATGAGATTTGTATTTATTTTACATAAATTGTTGGCATGAAACGACTCCATCCAACCATTCCAACACGATACATTTTAAAATTTCAATCTCGGATTGCATGTTAATTTTCGAATATTTTAAAATTGATGAAACAGCCCGCAACCAAATCATTTTTCACGCCATAGTGATAAAAATGTCAGATGGCTTAACCATCGTCAACAGCCATATCGTATAGCAGAGAGGAATGTTATTCAATGATGGGCGCGCTAAAAATGATAATGTGAAACTGCTTTCTCCAAAGAATTAAGATGCATTTAAATTTACATAAAATTTGATGGGAGTCCCTGACAGCTGTTTCAGTTTCATCACAATTCAGGGCAGATACTGCTTTTCTAATATAAGATTTTCTTTTTTTTTTAAGAACAAACATTAGCTTTCTTTAACAATTAGTTTGTTTAATATAATTTCAACGTCAAAAGGCCGTTGTGCCACATTCAGTCTCTAGTTTCTTTAGATAACGACAGTCATTTGATTATGCAATCATCGTATAATGAATGCAGTGATACATGTCATGATTTTAGAGGAAAAACTGAGTGCACTATGCTGGGCACAGCGTCAAAGCGAAGCACACTGTCGACCAAACGGCATGCAGGCACAGTTAAATAGAAAGACACACGCGTGGTTGTATCAAAGTCAATTGCGTGCCGTGTGAACACGAATAACAAAACTTTGTCGGTGAGATAGATAAATTATTGATTAAGCTAAAATAGACCGCTAGTAATTTTGGATTGATTGGATTAGCAGAATCTGTACATCGACCATGGCAGTTGTCTATCAATTTTCCAGCAGGAAATAATGTGTGGGAAGCCAAATCAAATGTCAGAGTGTATTCATAAAAAATGTATATATGAACCGAAACACGGCAACATTGCCTATAACCTTGTACTTGAAACTCACGAAAAATCACAAGGCTTTATCGCAATTGTATTACGTGCACATTAACAATAAAATGAATACAAAAATTCGATGAACATGTTTTTATCAGTACATTCGTTTTGTCCTCGTGACGTTTTTTCTTCTGTGGAATGTCATGAGGAAAATGCCTGGGAAAATTATGAAATTTTGTGAAAGCAGATGACTCATTCGATGTGTGGCACATGGAATAACTGTATCTATACTAATATATTATTTCGTCATACATCCAATATGTTCCAAATGCAAGTTCGTTCGAAAAATAGATAAAATTCAACGGAAGAACAAATATTGAGTATCGATTGAATTGAACGTATCGATTATTGATAACCTACATCTCACATGCCACGAATTCAGTGTAATTGGTTGTGTGTATAAATTTGTTATTGTACCTGTTATTGAACCTAATTGTGATATATCGAAGCAACTACTTCGAGTTTTTGCTGTTTTTAACGGCGATGAATGATTGAATGATGCGGCAGTCATTGCTGGTGTTGTTGTGGTGGTGGTGGTGGCATAATTTGGCGATGATTCGGTGGTAATCCAATCGGTGTCCATTGCTTTTGATGCACTACGTTTAAAGTGCTCAAGAAAATTATCGATTTGCACTTCAATCGAACGTGGTGTATTGGCCATTGTTTTCGTTTCACTCACATTAACTTGTATATTGTTATTTGTTTACACAAATTTTTCACACAATTTTTATCCATTGATAATATATAATGTTGATTTTCTTTTAATTTTTTTCTTCGATTTCCTCATTTTCATTTATATGCATAATTCACCAATCGTTTCACTGTCATTGCATGAACACTTTTTCATTTTTAGATAAAACATTAGATAATCGTTACACAAAATCGTGTGATTTTCATTCATTTGTAGCTTTTCTCCATACATATGTATATAAGCTGGAAGCTTTTAACCAACTGATTTTCGCGCATCACCACGATTTTTGCAAATTTACCAATAGCACTAAGATAAAAATTCACTCAAATGATTCCATCAAAAATGTGATCGAAACAATTGGAGAACAATCGAAAAGTACAGAACGAACAAAACTAAAACATGAAATTATGTATAAGTTGTTTTCATCAAATGGAAAAACCAATGTAAATCGTATTCGTTGTAACAGCGTAACATTGATGACGACGCGAACACGAACATTTCCACTAGTGCACTGAGTTCATCATCGGTAGATTCTTGACACCGACCAAACCAACGTTGTATGCTTTGTAAGTACCTGCGCGCGTATTCTTCTCGCTTAGCATACGAATTCGGATTGCGTTTTTCACTCACATATATTCGAACGAACGAATCGCTTCGTCCAAACAACAGTGGCAGTAGCAGCAGCAGCAGCAGCTGGCAGTAGCAGAACAAATGAACATACACGATGATGGCAAAAGCTAGAGCGGTCGTCAACGGTTGAAAAACTAAATAAATATGTATGATTCGGTGTGTGGCAGGCAGCATTTGCCATACATTGCGACTCACATTATATTCAAATGGAAGAAAAAAAAAGAAAAATATTGGTTGTGAAGCGCGCGTGTTCTTTTTATTATCCATCGGCAATGCACATGGCACGGAACTACGCATTTCACGGTCGGAGTGAGACAGAAACAATGGGATGGAATCGCTTTCGGATTCATTGGATGCGCGCTCGAAACATTTTGACAGAAAGCAAACAAAGTGAAAGAGCTAGACAACGAAAATTCAAAAGAGAACGAAATAGAAATGTTGTGCGACCAAGAAAGTATTATGCGTACACTGTTCGACTGGCATCCGTCATGCATATATGTATTATGCAGAAGAGACAGAGATGTACGAGCAAATGATTTTCATTGAATTTGAAAACATAAAATTGAAAAGAGACGGCACGAAAACAATCACTGTATTGAGTGATACATCTGAATAATGCGCGCATTTTGACCAACGAAGAAATGTACAAAGAACTGCGTTTATTGTATTGCAGAAATGATGGAAGAAGAATGAATAGAGGGCCTGAATTGTGTAGGAAAAGAACCTTATTTAAACAAAAATTGATTGAGCGAACAATGCGCCCGCCTAATTCACTCGAAAATCATATCAATTCGAATGGATAATTGGCTGTTTTCTTATGTAAAACGGTTATTTTTAGGCAATTGCAACGGCAATTTCACACATGGTTCACAACCGTCAACACGATGTGTTGTTGACCGTACAACAACAACAAAAAATAGCCGAAAAAATGTATGTTCGTTATGCTATGCACGTGATCACACAACCGTTACCATACATATTTCAACCATTGAGCAGCTGATGGTATTGTATAGTGCAAATTACATTGAATGGCTTACAAAAATTCGTACATATAAATGAAACGACAAAGTGTGCAGAATAAAATTTAAATTTTTGTTTGTTTTGTTTTTTTCGCGAACATGCGCTCATCATCTCATCCGAAAATTCCTTTCGGTATATTCATTCATTCAATCGTGTGGGCTTTTTGGCTCATCTACAACAACAATCGATTTTCAAATAAGAAACAAATTTACGTTACAAACAGACAACTCTTTTTTTATAGCGAACGCGATCATCGATTATATCGTTCACGTTTTATTTTCGATGCGATGAATAAGACATTGTTTTTGATGCACTTGAGCTAGACAAAATTTATTCGGAATCAGAATCACAACATTCTCATCATCAAATGATCATCATTTTTTATGAGTCAAATGACACACACGTACTTTTGTAATGCGTACGTAGAACTAATTAACGAAATAATTAAGCATTTGTTACATTTTTGCGCATTTACAATAGATTTGTTTTGTATTTAATTCATTATTTCAACATCTCAAATGATGTAAATGTGTATCTTTTTTTTTTAATTTCATTCAGTTCAGAGTGCTTTTGCTATGGAACGACGTATGAATCAACCTTTTCAGTGTCAAATTTTCAAACATTATCAACGATGTCGGTAAATAAGACCTTCAATTCTATAGAAAAAATGTGTATACAAAACTCAATTACAATTTGATGTTTAATGTAAATTTTCCATTTTATTGAGTGCAAAATATTCACCACAGGCCTGAAAATTGTCGATGTCAACGTCGTTTTTGTAACAAAAAAAAAAACGTTATCAAGTTCAAAATAGAATTCGACTTTCGAATCAATGGTTTGGCGTTACACACCCATTTTGAATTGTGCACGACGGCAAAGCGATTGGCAAATGCAACAAACAGTCAAAAGTCATAAATCCACGATAATCCGGTATTGCAAATTGGTCGAGTGCATCGGAATTTTGTTCTTATGTTCAAATTCCAACTCCTGTTCTCAATATTGAGAGAAAGAGAAGAATTTTTTTTATTCAAATATATCGGTGTAGCCGTTATTTTGCGAGTGCCCATACTTAATATTCATGTTATGACAATGTATTAAACGATGAAAAATAAATGTTGGCATGAATACAATTTGAGTTCAGCGAGAAAAATATGTTGATTGCTGATGAACGCTAATATAATTGTTTTGTTTAAATTGTTGTGGGCAACAATGTATACAAACGCACTGATTAACGAACGATACGCATTTGTCATTTCGCACCATCGGGTCGTCTCTTTCGTTCGCCAAACTGTGAGCAAACACAGTACGTGGGCCCCAAACATTACAATCGTATGCGTGCGCACACATCTTTATGAACACCACATACAAATACCAGCATAATCAATGACATTGGACGGAGTGCTCGCAATACACACTGTGGAAAAGTGTCAAAAGATTATTGAACACATCTCAATACATCTTTGGGACGAAACAAAAATGGAATGGCATTAAATCGGTGTGAAGAAAATTCGAAAATTTATCACAAAAATAAAATTGACACTCGATAAATATTGGCCGATTCGATATTAAACAGTGTGAAGAGTCTGATTTCCATTGAATCATTGTAGTTGTGTGCATTAAACTAAACGATTTCGTCGAATAATTTTGCGAATAAATAGAATTTTTTTTTTATCAAATTGACCGGTTTACAGTTAAACAAGAGTGAGTTGTTTTGTGTGTGACACTCGCACCGCGAATCTCTGATCATCGTTGTTAATGCTATTTGCCTGTATGTATGGTGCCTCTCACACACTGTGTGTTTTTATTAATTTCAATTAGACAAAGATAGAACGAGAGAAGAGAATAAACCGAACCGACTCAATTCACACACGGAGAAGAAGAAAGTCTTAAAACTATATGCAAGCAGCTCATTCAGAGTCAGTAGTTAATAGTCGTTCAATCGCACAACCGAAAACCGAACTTGATTATAACACATATTCAACGTGTGTGTTTATTTGAAATATATTTAGTTTGAGATTATTTTTCTTCATTTTTTTTCCTTTCATTTATTTCGATTTTTTTTAGTTTGTCTTTCATTTAGATTAAAAATAATTTGTTGGTTTTTTTTTATCTTCATTAATTTTTATCTTAAATCTATTTTTTCGATTTTATTTTTCGACAAATAATACGACGCCAAATTAATCGCATTGGAACGTTTAATTTTTTTTTTCACCCCGTAGATTAATTGATTACTGTGTGTTTACGAAGAGAGATTATTCAGTGTGTTTTTTTATCAAGTGGTGCGAAAAAAAGAGTTTAAAACATTTAAGCCGTCAAACAAACGTCGCGCATTATCAGTGCAATAGTAATTTGTTCAGTTCAACAACACCTTCAACTTTAAGACGAAAAAAATGGGTCGTAAGTAGATTTGATAATTTAAATTGATTTGATAAGTTTGGCGTAAAAAAAAAAAAATCGTCGGTTCCTATTTATTTTATCGATGTACATGTGAAATTGATATTTTTGGTTGACCTCTTGCATTGATTTGTTCATCATTAAGATCTGTCACATTTGATACACTTGCAATGAGACATTTTAGACGAATACAATGCAAACAACGCACGTGCATCGCACAGATACCGATAACACCGAATCTTCTTTTTGTTTGTTTTATTTTTGTCATTCACTCTTGTTCACATTCGACTCTGTTGCATACGATATTGATTCATTGCATTCGACTGTCATTTCGAAAATGAATAATTTGATTGAAAGTGAGACAAAATAAAATCAATTGATATGACCTTGAATAACCTTCAATCGATAATTTCTCACTAGTATTTTTGTTGTGTGTAAACTTTCGTGTTGTTTCTATGCCAAGTGTCGAGTGGCGTAAATTGAATTTAATGCCACACATTTCTCGCATTATAAAACGCACTTTCCGTCTTCTTTTTTTTGGCTGTATATAGTGCCACTTGAAATGGTGCTTAAATGAATCGCAATCATCGTCAAGTTCAAGAACCCATTCTACACATTTCAATTGAACAAAATTAATATCGATGCCATGATTTAATCGGTCTTTGTACCATTATATAATTGAAATACATATTCACGGAAGTGCATTAATATTTGTTATTTTCGAACGATCGAAAAGCAAAATAAAAATCTCTTCTTATTTCATATGTTTTCTGTGTATAAAATGAAATTGTATTGATAAACCAAATGGTCTCGATTAATAATGGAGACAAAGTAAGAAAGGGAGAAAGGGAGATAGAGAGAGAGAAGGAGTTACAAATCGCTTGCGATGATTCGGCCATCTATTTTAAAAGCGATTCGGTGAGTCACACGCAATCGCCAATCCAATGGAATTTTAAGTGAAAAACAGGAGTTAAAGAAAGGAGAAAGCGTTATATATTTAGCATGTTTACTCATCCCAATAGAATAGGATCAGCGAGCCGCATTATTTTTCAAGTGGATCGATCAATGTATTTTTTTCTTTTATGAAAACATACTTTGCGAATATTTTTCAATATTTGTTTTTTTATTTCTTCAAATATTTTGTATAAAACGTTTGCCGATGACATCAGATAGATTTGGTTTAATATTATTTGATTCTTGGGCGCAATTCACACTTGTGATTTTTTTTTCTTATAATAAATGAGGCGGTATTATTGAAATTTTAACGTGCAAAATGTCATCAAACATTTGCGTCGCGCTTCATCTAGAAGATACAAAAAATGTAAGAGAAAAGAAAACACCGTCGTCATACACAAACAAACACACGCATAAAATGAGAAAAATTTGAAGGTATGATGCAAAGTGTATCGTGTTTTATTTATTTTTAAATTTAAACGCAAAAAACCATCATCACATCGCCGCTAAGGAAAATTAAAAAAATAACAACAACAGCAGAAAAAATTGACTTTTTTGGTGTGCAACCATCGGCGTCATTCCTGAATTCGATTGACTCACGTATTCGGATCATAAACTAAGAGACCGCAAATTTAGGCGCATTTTTAAATTAACTATGGCTGACGTCTTTCGAACGATATATCGCGTCATTTTGGGCTTTTCAGTTTCATTCATTGGTGGCAGCACCACAATATTTAAATTGTATTATGACTGATCGAATATTTTGATTTTTAATTTCATTCAATTGATATTTTATCAAACAAATTCTCTGAAATGATTGATAGACTCCCATTTTCACTCTGCTTCGAGCAAAAAGTTTGAATGAAGAAAATAAAAACCAAACAGACAAGTTCAAGTTGGTGCTGAGAATTTTAGTGATTTGAAAAACATTCTAAATAATGACATTCACGATTCAAAATAAGGAATGTAGAATGAGCACGAACAGAAAAAAAAAACAATCCCAAATTTATCGAGCATTGTCAATAGCAATTGATTGCATTGCGCGCACGCACACATTCGACACGAAGGTTGAAACAATGTAAGAAAATAAGATCAAGTTTACACATTTCGTAGAAAAAGTGTGAACCGATCATTCTCGACGTCTTCAAATGAATCTTCATTTTATCGCTTGGCGGAAGAAAGAGACAGAAAATTGCGTTTTAGATGATACACAATATGAGCGAAACGCATACTACCTTTTCTTTTACACAACAACTCATTAAATGTAAGTGCAATTAATTCGCAGAATTGATGAGTTGCCAAGAAATTGAGTTTCGTTTATGTTCAATGTGTTCGATCTATGTAGCACTTTATGCATGTCAATATCAAAAATATCGGCAACATTTTTTTCTTCGTACAACAACAAAAAACAAAAACAAATTGTGAATATAAATATTTACTCGCAAGACCATTGTCGTTATCATTTTTCCGTAATTCATTTAGCGGCATTACATTATTTTTTCGCAAATGATTTCCTCGATCATATTTATCATCATCGGGGTCGTTTGTTACCTTAGCATGTCTATGTTAAAACTGATACCTTTGCGCTCGACGACAATTAAACAAAAAATAAAGCGAGATGCTTGCAATCAACATGAAAACGCATAATCGGTCTTCAAGTGAGCTCAATGTTTTGGTTTTGAATGATTTGTTATTTGCTTTGGTGCCACAACACCATTACCCATATTTCATACGCTCTAAGGTTGCCGCAACGAAAAATTATCGCATTCGATTGTAAAAAATATAGTATGATCAAATGATTTCGTAAATGAGTAAATAAAAGAAATAAAAAAAAGTGAATTAGAAGTCAGAATAAGACCATGTTGATTTGATCTGACCTTTTTGAAAACCATTTTCAAATTGGTTTCATAATCAAATCCATGGGATCGCAGCATTACAGATAATGAGCGCTTATTCAACAGGCAAAATTAATATGTGCGTGACACAACGAACACAACCAGATGGAAATATGCTCTCAGGAACATGCTATTTAAAGGCGGAATTGTATGAAAATTGCGAAACTCCGAATTATAACACTCTTCTGTTGTGTTTTTCTTTTCTTCTTCTCTCGATCATGCTATTTTTAGTCACCGAGTGTCACACACAGAAAAGGCATGCACACGTTGAATGAGAACATATCACGGTGAGAACGACTGAAATCCATACAAGTTGTGAATGAAATAAAAAGAACATCAAATCTTCGTACTGTTATCAAGAAAAAAAAACAGAAATATATCATACAAATTGAAGAAAATGTACCAGATAAGATTTTCGATCAGATTATTATAATAGTTGTTGAATGCACGACATAAAGATGATGAAAGTTTTCGTATTGTAAATTTGGCAGTAAAAAAAAAGACGCCAACATTGTTTCATAACTAATATGAATCATAAGAAATGCGAAGATCAGATCAAAATAACATGCAATGACATGTCTTGAATTATGCGGCGCGACAGAATGAATCAATCCATTTCGCACCTACAACACATCAGATCTTACCAACTCGATGAACATTGAAATAAGGCTTCGTGTGCGCACACACTTTTTGTGGATAAAAGTTGTTTCCATTTATAGTTGCGATGAATCAAGTAACTCAAAATGATATTTCTTATGCTGTCTTGAGCGTGCCCGTGCGCGCACACAACACGCTCAATAGCATCCGAATGTAACCGAAGTGACTGGTTCACAATTTTTTTTTTAATTTCAAGTACATATTCCTGTGCACTGTGGTTTGTTTGTTTATTTTTTTCATTCATCCATTTTGTTTTGCTTCGTTCACGTATCATGCAATATTCGCAAATAACTCGATTTGTTTTATTTTTCTCCTTCTCATGGTTTCACGTCTACGCACATTCCATGCAAGCACCATAGCATCAACGGCACCAAACAGATAAGAAAGTAGCTCTATTCAAATGCGCATACGGATTTTAACTTTTCCAGGCATCTCGTTTCGCTTGATATTTCATTTCGATGTGCATGAGTTTAGCGCATATTTTTGCGTTTTTCATTTGCTTTTATTTTCCGTGCCTCATAAAAAATGAATTATTAATGTTGAGTTTGGCAAACAGATATTCTTAATTCACCACGGTGATTATTTTCAGAAAATAGAATATCAAATAGAGAAATACAGATTATTATTGTTAGTGAGACCAAATCTCAGCTCAGCTGTTTAAAATTACTACTCTTTTTTTCTTGCTTTTGCCAAAGTTTCAAACCATAAATTTTGCGGTATTTGTTTTTATTCTCACAAATTTCATTATTTCTCTCTCGATTACAATCACTGAATCGGAAAGCGCAATCGTTGAATTGAAAACAGTTCAGGATTCAAAAAATCCATTTTAAATCTTTTGATATATGTGGTTTGAGTGTTTTTTTTTCGTCTATTCGATTTTCCACACTCAAACTATAATTCATTCTGTTCAGTAGAACAATTTTTTTTACACATTTTGCCGTCGTCTCGAACTTTTGCATTGGAATGATCAAGTTGATAGTCTTTTAACTATGGATCTAAAAATAAAGAAATAAAGATCGGTTTACAAGTCGGCGCTACTGAAAATGTTCATCTCATATAAAACACCAAACTTTTCCACACCACTTGTGACCAATACATCATCACACACACAGCCTAATTATATGATTATGAAAATTAGCCTACAATTTTGAGAATGAACAATTGCACTTTTTATTGATTAAATAAATACAAATCCATTACATAATCGTGTGATATTCGGTGCGCTTTTCAAAAATGTCGCATTTTTTTATCGAAAAATTAATGCCCGAAATTGTGTTTGTTTTCTGAAATTGTTTACTTTCATACCATCAGGATCGAGTTATTTCTGGCTCACATTTAGCTGATTATAAATGCGAATATTGCTCTCTCTATGAATGTGAATAGATGCGATCGAAAAATGTTTGACCAAATTCCAAATTGTTGTCGACATATTAATCCCAAAACAAAAACTGAGACGATACAATTTGCGTTGTTCATTTGTCTGTTGTTGTTTTTGATCGCTTCATTCCATAAACCATTTTTAAATTTCAAATTATTTAAAAATAGTTGAAAAAAGAAATGGCAAATAAACAGTGAGGCGGAAAAGTATGAATTTTCTTATTGGCGCCTGAAAACGCGAGAAATGAATTATTTTGCCAAATTATTGCTTCATCTGTCAATGAAAATAAAGATATATTTCCTGCAATGAATCATACAATGAAATCATGACTTTCTTTATAATTCAAACGTGATTTCATTGAACTTCGTCGAACTGTATTTTTTTTTTGTTGTGGCTTTTTTATGATATTCATAAATGGAGATCGTTTATTCCATTCGAAATGGATAAACGAAAATACTGGCAACGATGACTGATCGAATGAGACATTTCGATGCATCGTATATTTTACCATGGTTCGGTCTCAGAAAACATTGAAATAACTGCAAATCATACCATATGTAGTCATTTGGATTCGATTTCGAATTTTGCTATTTTCGTATTCGCATTAATAAATTTTAATTTCTCTCTTATTCTTTTCTTTGTCGCACATTATATAGAATTTGCGTGGGTCACATTGGCTACAAATGATTCATATGCATTGGGTGCATTGGTTGTGGCTAATTCATTGAGAAAAGTCAACACAGCCCATCAGCTAGCTGTTTTAATAACACCCGGCGTAACATCATCGATGCGCCAAAAATTGCAAAACGTTTTCAATTTGATGCAAGAAGTCAATGTGCTCGATTCAAAAGATGCCGCCAATTTGGCATTGCTATCGCGTCCAGAACTCGGAATCACCTTCACCAAATTGCATTGCTGGCGATTGACACAGTACGAGAAATGCGTTTTCTTGGATGCCGACACATTGGTATGTATATATTATTATTATTATTTTTTTTTATATCCATCTTTGGTAAACTTCCTTTTTCAATCGCTAAAAACGTGTAGATGTGTAAATTTTCATCGATATTAACACGTATCTATAAATATTGTATCGTAGGTGTTGCAAAATTGCGACGAATTATTTGAACGCGAAGAATTATCGGCTGCTCCAGATGTAGGCTGGCCAGACTGTTTCAACAGCGGTGTGTATGTGTTCCGTCCAAGTTTGGATACATTCGAGAAGCTCACACAATTTGCTGTGCAAAAAGGCAGTTTTGACGGCGGTGATCAAGGTTTATTGAACTCATACTTTGCCAACTGGGCACAATCCGATAGTTCAAAGCGATTGCCATTCATCTACAATACATGCTCAACCGCATGCTACTCATATCTTCCAGCTTTTAAACAGTAAATACCAGACACTTCTTTTTTTATTTGTTTTCATTTTACGCCACAACATTCCATTGTACAAGTTCTGTAAAAAAACCAATTATTCATCGATGCAAATTCAATATTCTATAGATTTGGTGAAAATGTTAAGATTCTTCATTTCATCGGCCAATTGAAACCATGGGTTATCAATTTCGATCCAGTTGCCAAGAAGCCAAACCCACCTCAGGAATACAAACATTTGACCGATTATTTGGACTTGTGGTGGAACATTTTTTGCCAAGATGTTCATCCAAAATTGGTACCCGATATGGTAAGTCATTGTATTGCATTCTACATTGTTTAGTTAATTACATCATGGGATTTGATTTCCTGAATTTACTCAACGTTTTTTTTTTCTCCTAAAATCAAACAAAAAATATCCCTTTGTAACTTGTAATCCTTCAGTTTTTTTTTTTTTCAATTAACACTGCGAGTCGCATAAAAAAATTCCCACAATTTCCCGATTGATGTTAATTTTTTTTTGTTGTTCAATCAATTATCGCTTCCTATAAATTGAGTTAACATTTAATACATACTGACCAATCATTTAAACGGAAATTGTTTATTTCTCTGCTACCAAAAATTTTCAAGTCTGAAACGAAATTCAGTGTGGGGGTAAGTCATACACAGAATATGGCCATAAGTTTCAGTCCATATGTTCAAAATACACGAAAGTAAAGTAGTTTTCATTTGATTATTTTATTTTATGTTTTTGCAATAGCATTCTATTTTAATTGAAAAAAAAAAAAAATTATTTTGATTTTTGAGGAATGATTTAATTGAAAAAAAAAATTATTGATTTTTGAGGAATGATTTAATCGAATGTTAAAACTATTAATCGCAGAATAGCAATGATCAACGACATAATGATGCACCAAGATGGTATGAAAATCCCCAATTTCTTTATGTACCTCCAAATGAATATTTGAATGTTGAACGAACCACAGAAACCGTATTCTCAGATCCATGGGAAGAATATTATGAAAAACAAAATGCACAAACCGAACATATGGTGTTTGCCGAATGCACCGAAAATATAAGCGCCGATAATTATGGTAACGTTCAAACAAGTTCAGAGCACACAATTCATGTGGATCATGAACAGGTCCATGTACATTCTGAACAAATGCAATCACAATGGCATGGAAATAACAGTAATAATAACAATAATACCCAGCAAAGTGTTGAACATGAATCCGCGATAGAATATGAATCGCATAGCGAACACCATCACCAACACACACACGAACAGAGTACACATAGTATTATAGAAAGTACAAATCAATGTTCCATACCAGCTGAAATTGTAGCCATTGAATGCAATGATCATTTGTTTTCCACACATGAAATTATTCCATCCAATGACAATTTCGTACCAAGTTCAAGTCAAAACAACGACCATTCGGAACCAAGCGGCAATGATAACGATGATCAGGTGCGTAAATTGTTCCTCTAACCCATGCATTCCAAATACATGCTGGAACACGCAACAAAAACAAACCAAAAAAAAAATCCTATCTGATAAATGAAAATTGTACATTTGCTACTTTTTTCCACCATTTAGTATTTTCCACACTTAACTCTATTATTTCTATTTATTGATGGCGCTACGCTCTTAGTTTAGCTTTCAACTCAAAGTTCTGAGATTAGTATATGTGTATGGATTGTGTTGGTATCGTCTCTGGGGATATATAAATATTGCAAATATCTACGCTTTTGAGATCACGTCTGGGCTATATATTTATTTTATTTATGCAATAATATTGTATTTCGGTCTATTGTTTAGTATTCAATATTCGGTTAGTTTTGGGGTTTGTATCTCGTCATAAACGAATATATTCTGTGTGACTGCACAAAATGTGTTTTGTTTTCATTCTCTTTCACTCTGTGTGTCTGTAATTGTTGACAAACATTAAGTATATTGTTTTTTTTTCTTAAATATTTTGAAATTAACAAATCAAAAATGTATATCAACTAATCATCTGTTTGGCTTTGTAAAATGGAAATAACAACAATACTATTTGTCAATGTGGTACTCTGCATCTATAACACGCATGATTTCTCTAACACCAGCAACAACAAAAATCAATTGCATTAGTTAAAACGATTGAAATGAGAAACTTATATGGGCCACACCAACTAAAAAACATTCGAACAATGCAAACATACATCTATCTTTATTCACTTTCAAAATATCATTTGGTGATATCAAATTATGCATCGATTATTTCTATTTAGAGCGGGAAATAGTTTTAACTTGGCGATTAAAAATTATCGATTATGATTCGTTTGATAATTTGTTTTTATTTAAAAAAAAAATGTACTCAAAACACTTTCTTTTTCATACGTTTAACTAATGCAATTTATTTTTCTCTATATTATAAGTACATTGCATGATTCTATTTTGTATATTTCAGTTTCAAATTAAATTTAAGTACATTTATTTCTTTTCCATTTTTCTTTTTGCAATAATTAATATCATTTGGTATTTTCGTCTTTATTTGTCTCTTTCTTTCGATAATGAATCGTCAAATAGGGAGGATTGGCTGGTGCTTTGGCCGGTTTAAAATTGGGCGTTGCACGTTCGGCCGAACAAGAAGCTTATGAAAATAATTGCCGTCGCAGCTATTGGGAACACGGTAACATCGATTACTTAGGTAAGGATTCGTTTGATAATATCTGGAAACGGATAACACAAACATTAGAATCTAAGAATGGATCGTCATCTGAGCAAGAAAGACGTGCTCGCACACCAACACCACAACCAGAAGATAAATTGCCAAAAGATGCCAAGAAGGAAGGTAACTAATTCAACGCCAAATCAAGCCAAATAACAATGCGCCTATCACATCACACCTTATTTTGCACATGCACACACATACACAATACTGAAGTTTTAAACACAAACGTGCGCAAACACACACATTACACAAAAACAACACGACGTAGTCTGAACTGCAATCAAAAGAAAAAAAATAATATATTTTTAACACGCCACACGCATACACAAAAACTAAACAATGAAACAAATTTAACATACATCGCAGAGTCTCTCTCGTAGTGAGAAAGCATGATTTATGGGGTGATCTTCTTCTGTATTAAAACCAAGAAAAAAAAAGATATGTTTTCTGTGTAAATTAAACAATTTTTTCGTTTGCATTTAGAATTCAGAGATTTGGAACTTTTTCAAAAGAATTTCAATTCATTAATGTTATTGTTTGTTTCAAAGTTCATTTTATATTTGGATTTGGATAGATATTTTTAAATGGCAAATTTGTCTTATTATTTTTTTTAACAACGGAATATTGATTTATTCTTGATGAGTAAATGTAAATCATGTTAAGAGATTCAATGTGCATCATCAAATTAATAATAACTGTTTCTATACAAATTAATTTGCATAACAGAATGTAAACTAAAAACAAAATACGACAAGGAACACGATTGAATTAAACAAGATCACGATCATAAGTCTCATAAATTAGTTTAACACATTTTTTTCTTTTGATATAATTTTTTTTTTTTTGTTAAAATAGTTTCAATGCATTTTATCATTTTGATTTATTAAATCACATTGCTCAAACTCATTGCTAATAAGCCAATTAATTACTAAAAAAAACGAAAACAAATAATTGAATTAAGCTAGTAATTTTAGTGTTCAAACGTTGAAATGCCTTAAAGCTTGACTAATGCAAGTGGACAATAGAAAAGTAAAAAAAAAAACATTTGGTTTGACAATTCTTGGTATTTTTTTTTGTTAATTTCTCGAACACAAACAAAAAATCAATTGTAAATTCAGGCTGTAAATGAAAATGAAGAAAAGTCTATCAAAATTGTGAGGGATCAATTTGTGTCGTTTTTTTCTCTACTCTATCTCTCGGTTGACAATTGAATATCCAAAATCCGATCACACATTTGAGAGAAAAACAAATCAATTGATACCCAATTATTTATACTTTTTATACTGCATTTGTGTTCACAAGAATCGACGAAACTACGTCATACGATAAATAAATGAGTCGAAAAAAAAGAGAAAATCCAGTCTAGTTTTCGTGTTGAACCAAAAAGAAAATTGTTTAGTTTCCCCTTTTTTAGAAAGAAGATAAAAAATATATTTTTTTTGAATATATTGGAGTGTTTGTATTAATTTTTGCAACGACATCATATCATCTGATATTCAATTGTATCTTATGACAACATCTTTGCGGTGTTGCGAAATCGCACAAACGTTGTCCCCATGCATTTGAAGTATTTAGAAAAATTCTATGAAAAAATAGTAGATTTTTTATTCTTATTTGGGAAGTACTCTCTTACAAAAAAGTACAAATTCAAAAAGTAAGTTCTTTTTTCACGAGTTTTGCTTAGTTTTTTTTTGTTATCGTTTTGATTTGTTGTTTCCATTTTAACTAGTTCAAGTTTTTTTTTTGAGATTTGCTTCCTAATAAAATCGATTAGAGTCATGTGGACATTGACTGTGTGATTTATGTTCTCTTTCTGTGCATTTGTAAACATCAACTCTGTTGCAAACCATCCATAGAAAATGTGGAATGAAATGCAATACACGTGCACACAACACACAGATTTGTTTTTTTTTGTATTTCTTGAACACAATATTTCAAAGCACACACAACACCCACCCACAAATACAATTGTTTCTGTTTTTGTCATTGTTTTCGATATTTTCTTCACTAATTGATGTCGTTTTTTTATACCGTTCGTGTTTGTTGTTTAACCGATGTTTCTAATAGGAAATGGATCGTTTATAAACTTTTCGCCAAAAATAAAAAATCGAATTAAATTAAAAGAGACGTTTTCGAAACCATCACCATCACATTCCCCATCATCGTCATGATGCGCAAAAATCTTACCACCAATGATGCTGTATAGAAATTCACACAGCCCAAAAAATCAATCTAAAATTTGTTTGCGTTCAGATTATACCATCATAATGCATACTAACTCTTCCATCATGTTCGCTGTGGCCTAAAATCAACTAAACGCTAATTTAAAATAATAATAATAATAAACCGATTAATCAAATATATCAAATGCTGCAACTAATCGGCAACTCCAGGCAAATTCGAGACATTTTAAAACAGTCCGAAAGAAATGTAGCACACACTTGGCATCGTGCTTGACCAAGAACCATCATCGGAAGGGAACACACACCCACATACCTCAACGTCGTCATAAACAAGCATCAGTGCAATGTTATCTTGTCTTAGAATTTCTAATCGAATGATAAATCGTAATTTGTTCATTTGTCATTTAAAATGGTAAATGTTCTGTTTGTAAGTGTAGACAACATTATTTATAGAATCGAAAACAAAAATGTGTTTTAGCACAAAGTCAAAGAAAACACAGTTCAGACTCTCATTAAATGTCTTTTTTAAAAACGTTTGAATTAAAATGTTTCGTGCATGTTATCATTGAATAAAATGTGGTGTCAAATCAAAATATGAAGACTCAAGCACACACACACACACACACTGATAAACAATATGTTGCACAAACACAAATACCGATTCCAAGTAAAGCCACATGAATTGAATCATATAGATATTTCATTTTGCCATAATTTGAAGAGTTTGAAATTAAACTGGGTTTTCTTTTACATTGAACTATTGCAAAAACCAAACACACTCGAAACAAAAAAAAAATTAAACAGCCAAATTAGGCCCAATTATATACGAGAGTGATGAAGATGAATACTGTCTAAGGGAAGAAATTTCTCTTAAAGGATCCGCAATTAAGGAGCGCATCGTCAATGAAGTGACCGCTGATGGAAGACAAATTACCAAAAAAATTCACACTCTCGAAGGCACCAAATACCAAGAGATTGAACAATGGGAAACAACAGAAAGTGACGGCAAGAAAATTGAAAAACATCATAAACTTACAACACCATCGAAGACATCGAGTATGAAACCATCACCAGCGGCTGAAGCTGCTCTCAAGGCACTTGTTAGCCAGGAAATTATCATCGTTCCAGGACATACTAAGGTTGAATTCGATGAAAAGAACAACATTAAAACGATTACTGAAAAAACAACAAGCGGACATCAAGTGACAACCACTCAAACGTTCCCCGATGGTCGTACGAAAACACAGACACGAACATTCTACGATCCAATTTCGGTGCCAGTCGGCGAGGATGAATATGAAGAGGAAGAAGAAGAAGAAATCATTGAAGAAGAGGATTGGGATGATTCTACCAACACCAATACCAATAAAAATCAACAATTGAAGAATGTTGATCAAAAACAAGTCAGCAAAAACACATCAAATGTGAGCAATCAAGAAGTTAAATCATCAACTCAAACCAGTAAACAAGTAACATCACAGCAAACAACCGTTACTCAACAAAAGTCGACAAAAACAAGCAGCGAAACTCAAGTACATTCGCAAAGTACTAAATCAAATCAACAAACGCAACAACAGCAAAGCATTCAAAATACTCAGAATGTTCAAACGAAGAAAGATGATACCACGAACAGACAGGTTGCTGTTCCACAATCAAATCAACCACGCACAACGATTGTCAAGAAGAAATTGGACACTGGTGAAGAAATTGAAATTCACACCACCGTTTCGGCTGATGGTTTGACAAAGAGCTGTCGTCGCATTGTGACGCAACCGGCCGAAGAATTGGAGGTAACTGAGTATGAGGAAACTCATAGCTATGAACCAGGTTCGGTGAAAACTACACGCACCACATCACAACAACAAACCACCAAGAAAGTGACCGAAAGTACTCAAAGCGTACAACAACAGCAACATCAACAACAAATTCAACAACAACAGGAGTACACTCATCATCAACAACAGCAACAATTGCAACAGTTGCAACAGCAACAACAACACCAGCAACAAACCACTAAAAATCAAACGAATATCACCGATAAACAAGTGAAAAATATCGACAGTCAAAATCCAAATGCTGTTACACCATACGGTCAAAATGTGCAAGAAGAGTTTGTTGGTGCACATCATTCAACCAGACGCACAAAGGTCACTGAATCGGTGACAATGATTGTTCAAGACGAGCATGGTACTTCTGGTGTCACCAAAACCAAGCAAACCGTAAACAAACAACAAAATGTACATGCCTCACAAACTGGCAAACAAGATGTGACAACATCACAAAATCAAACGACAGTCAGTGAGGAAGAGCATGAATTGACGGTGGAAGAAATTGAAGAATTGTTGCAACGTCAACGTAATACCAGCACCAAGCAAATCACTCAAGAGATTTCATCGTTGACCAAAGAGCAAATCGATCAAATTTTGCAACATCATGAACAACATAAGAAAACCGTTAAACAAAGTACTCAACAAACATCGACAACATTGAGTCAGGAGCAAGTTGAAGAATTGAAACGTTTGCAACAAATCAAGAATACGCAACAAAAAACACAGCAAACAACTCAACAAACTACCCAGCAAACGACTCAACAAACCACTCAAAAATCGAAATTGACCAAGGAGCAAATGGACCAACAAGAAATTGAATTGCGCAAACAATTGGAACAACAAAAACAACAATCAAATATTGATGAACGTTTTACCAAGAATCAAAATCAAACCGTACGCAAGGAAACTCACAAAATTACAAGCACCAGTGAGAAAACATTCACCACTTCAATGGGACATGAGGTGACACGTCCCGATACACTACCCGGTGAAGATACGACCGAAGAAGTACGTTATTTCCCAGGTGGTGTTGAATACGTATGGCGTACGGTGCGCAGTGATGGTTCGTCAAAAATGTCGATGCGAACATTCTATGATCCGGTTCCAGTTGAAGATGACGAACACGTTGGTTCGGGTAAAAAAAAACTTCCAGCTGCACATGCCTCTAATGTCAACACTCAATCAGGATTTAAGAAATGAGAAATGCAAACGAAAATATGCTCATTTTGAGATGTAAAGATCAAACACAAACATCAGATCTTTGCAATGCAACAACAACAACAACAATCTTATCTTATTGTTGTTTTCATAATTTCTTTTTCGATGACATATAGAAATTATAGATTTTATTTAAATTCAACATGTTTTTTTCTTTCTCTGAGCTTTTTACATTGCTTTTATTAACCGACAATTGCATTTCTTAATTTGCGTTTATTTCGTTTACATTTGCATTTCTTTTTTCTGATGAGTTTTGTTTGCAAATAGATATTGTTCCAATAATTAATAGCGTCGACAATAAAAACATTAATGTTGAACAATTTTTAGATTGATTTCTCGAGAACAAATATATAGGCCAACATAAAAATGTCTTCAAGATTCTCAGAATGTAATAGTATTATTTTTAAAACAAAATGTTTCATTTAAAATAAAATAAAAAAAACTGTTTAGAATTTATTGGGAAAAAAATCTACTACTAACAATCGATAAAAACCGATTCCTCCTAAAAAATTAAAATTAAAGAAAAATTGTTAAACAATTTTATGAAATATTGATGTGTTACGATAAATTTTATGAAATTGTTTATCAACCAAAAAAAAAAAATATATGGTAAATTAATAAAGAAAATTCAAGGACAAAAAAAAGTTATAATAAAATTAAAATCAAAACGAAAACCGATGAATCGTTTTCATTTGCTTATTTAAATAAAATAGGTGAAAGATTGGTCAAGGATTGTGTGCTCTCTCTCATTGCGATGCGGTAAATTTTTCTATCTTGAACAATTGTTTTGCCGGACATTTCGGAAAATGACATTTACAAAATTTTATAACGCTAGCCCAGACTATAAATATGGTTTCATAGCAAATACATCTTCGCGGCGATTTTTCATTCAATTTGCATTTCTTGTGTTTTTATATTTTTTGTCAATCATGCGATTTTAAATTTTTTACAATGCTTTAACTATGAACACAACTAACAATGAAGGTATCGACGAGGAATTGTTATTGAGATGACCTACACAGCCTTCATGAATTTTGATGCGCTTACTATGTGTTGTTCTTGTTCTTGTTGTTTTTTATATCTGAGAACGCGCCAAGCAACGTGTGTATGACCTTGTTTTTCATTTGCTTGAATTGAGCTGAAAACAAAATCTTGATAAAAATTAATTACAATACTTTCCAATAATGAAATTCTCAAAGGCGTTCGTAGGATTTCCGATGTATCGGCTCCAATTGCTACATGCCCTGTTACTAAAAATGCTGCTCCCATTGCTAGCTTTGCACCAATTCAAAAAAGTGAAGTCAAAACTGAGGTAAAACAAGAATCACAATCTGAACCAAAAACAGAAACAAAACTAGAGACTTCAACTGAGCCAACTCAAGGTTCTGTCAGCACTGATACCAAACCAACTGTCACTATTCCACCAACAAATGTGGAAAGTGTCGAGAAACCAACGACTCCAACAGTTACATCACCAACACCACCTCAATCGCCTGCTTCGGCTAGCACTCAAAGCAAACCGTTGACTGTGACTAAAGATCTTAGTGCCGTTCATGATATACCCGATACACCACCAGCCGGTGGCCAAAAAGAAACAGCCAAACTTAAAAAAGAAGCACCCAAAAAGAAGAAGTAATCGTATCTAACGATTATTACAATATTTTTCACATTAGTTTTTACTTAAGTAAAAATGAATTGATTTTCATTCATTTATACATATTTTGATGTGTTCGTCTTCGTTTGAAATAAAATGTTCATCATGAATTTTGAATTATGATATTTCTTTTCCTTTAACAGTCAATCAAAAAATGTGATATTACTTATATTTGCAAAGTTGCTGAGATTGACGCTTAAATGCCGGTATATGTGCCGATTAGAATAAAAAAGAAAATAAACAATAGAATACACAATGACAGATTTGCATAGATGAATTGAATACAAATTACAATGAAGTTCGTCCGTTTTAGTTGAACAACTTAATATTGAGAACAGGTAGAGTACACGTAAATTATTTTTTAAAACATGTACGAAGGGGTAAGTAAGTCATTCTGCTGGATTATTACAAAATTGATGATTAAGAAAATTAAGATTTTCAGTGACTAATAAAAAAAGACACATCACGAAAAGAAACCGCTCAATTACCTTTAAACCTTACAACATGCATGACCTCTTTCTGCAAAAAAAGTCATCGAAGTCAATTCGCCATTGATTTGTTTGACAGTTTAATAAACAACGCATAAACACTAGATGCAAAAATAGAACGTTATCTATCAATAACTATAAAGTCTCTTGAGATTAAAAAAAGAATTAAATAGTAACTTAGAAATTAATAGTTGTTTAGTTATTCGAAGCATTCATTGCTGTCCAAAAATGTCCGGAAAATTAATTTTTAGCGAAATCAGCGGGGATTTGTTTTCGTCACCGCCAGAATTTGCGTTGGCACATTGTGTTACAACAAGTATGGTGATGGGTGCCGGAATAGCTCGTGTATTTAAGTACGATAGTTTTTTTTTTTCGATTGAAAGAGCAAAGTAAACTTTGATAAATTGAATGATGATTTCTAAAGTCAATTTTGATTTTAAAAAAAATATTTCAGATCACGTTTTGGCCGTGTACAAGAATTGAAAGATCAAAATGTTCAAGTTGGTGGTGTTGCTGTTCTAAAACATGAAAAACGATACATTTACTATTTGGTTACAAAAGATAAATTATACGGAAAGCCAAAGTACGAAGATCTCAAGTCAACGCTACAGGAAATGAAAAAACACATGGTAATAGAAATCACCATCATTTTAATTTTAACCGTTTAATAAAAAGTCAATTGAAATATTCTAGGTTGCAAATGGCGTCACAAAATTGGCCATTCCAAAAATTGGCTGCGGAATTGATGGTCTCGATTGGGACAAGGTCAAACAAGTGTTGCACGACGTTTTCGATGATGAAGCTATGGAAATAGTTGTTTACGTTCTTTAAGAATTATAACCTTCTTGCTACTTTGCCAAAACACAATATTTTTATCCAACTTTCTATCTCTGAATCACTAGCATGGCTGAATAAAACATTTTTTTTTGTAGAATTGTTGTTTTCTTTTCTTTATTAATGTTTTTCTGTTCAAACATTTGAATTTGGAATAATGTTTGTGGACATGGAAGCAGCTGACTTGTCAGATTCTCTCTTTATATTATAGGATCCATCTCACTCGCGTGCACAACATGTTGCATTTGTTTTTTTTTTTTTTAATTTTCGCTATGATTCCGATGTTACGATGAGAAATTTAAAAAAAACCTACAAAATTATTTTAGTCTTTAATGGTGATGTTTACGTCGCTTAGAGGTAGTGTATCGGTTTGGTGATAATGGCATGTGTCGGCTACTGCTTTTTTCGTAACTTTTTGTTGATACCGGCGATGGTGACCTGAGAAAATATTTTAAAAAATCAATTAGTTGTCATTTTCTCAGCGATAAACAAAAATGATTGATTTGATGAGTGTTTTTTTTGTGGTACCTGTGATATCGACGATTACTTTCATATTTTGAGGATCGTGACGAAGGTGAAAGAGAGCGATCATTGTATCGTTTAGGAGAATGTGATGAGCTCCTTGACCTTGATCGACGATGCTTTCGATATCTGGTAGAAGGTGATATCGAATCTCGTATTCTTTTGCTATAGCCGGGCGACCTAGATCGGCGACGCGACGATGTGTTTCGATTGTACTGTGGCGACGGGGAACGTTTTGATTTTTTCGATTTTTTTAACGAATCTGTAGGGCTTGGACTACGTTTAAGCGACGACGTTCGTCCCGAATGTGGTGAATCTGTTTGTAATTCACGCAATGAACGTTTCATCAATTTTCTTCTATAATGTTCACATTGTTGCTGCACACTCCATCCGGATTTTAAACTTCGATTTCCCGATTCCAATTCATCTTGGTATTGTACGGTTTTCAATTCAACTTCACGCAATCGCAAACGTTTCTCTTCGTCATAGTCACGAGTACCTTCGCTATATTCAAAACTATCAAAACTATCTTCCGATAAATTTGTTGTCGGTTGAGTTTCCAATGTTTCCCATTTTGATGTGGTTATGGCTTGGGCTTCAATCTTTTCGGGATCAACTGTTTCCCATTTTGATGGTATAAAACCGGCTGCTACTGGACTTTGGTCTTTATTTCCTATAGGAATGCCATCGATATCAGGATCTTCCACTGTTTCGTTTAAAAAAAACATTTTAAATTGACATTTAAAAAAAAGATCGTTCATTTTCTGTGCCAAACTGAAACTTACATGGAATTCCGTCAATGTCATCTTCATATTCTGAGTCTACATTCTCTTGAATTAGCGTCACTCGTTCATGTGACGGTGAATCAGTAACGCTCGTTGCTGCACCAGGAATGCCACGCATAAAAGCACTTTTAAGTAAAGCCGCACCATCCAACGGAACACCATCCAAGTCTTCATCTTCCTTTTCATCGCCTGATCCTATCAATGGTTCTGGCTCTGGTTCCCTCTTTTCACTCGTCTATAATAAATTCAATTTGACATCAGAAATATTCAATATGCAAAATAAATACGGTCGGCTTGTTTTGCTTACATGTTGAATGCCCAAATATATGGTCTTTAATTTATTAATAAAATCGCGGTCGTAGACAAGCCATTCATCCCATGCTTTTAACACTTGTACTACACGCGCCTTGAATCCTTCAGCCTTTAATCGACTTTCTAAGCTTTTGTACGTTGCATTTAAATGTTTAAATATTTCTTCCAAGTATTTTTCCATTCTAAACGAATAAAAGGCATTGGTTTTTTTTATTTATTTAACTGCAATTTTCAATGCGGAATTTTGAGCATATCCAATTATACTTACGACGTTCGATAAAAACTGGCATTGGAAACTTTAACGGTGCAATTATGTAAAATATCCGAAACTAAATAAAGCCGTGCAATTTTCTTGCTGATCAATGTTTGTGTGTTTGACATTGATTCTTCGATGCATTCGCAAATTTCATCGGCGGCATCAGCATGTTCAATGCAAAATACCATACAATCGCCAATTTTTGAACGTTCCGGTGTTAAATGACGAATCAAGTCTTCTAATCGATCACGTTGCCTGCATACAAAAAAAAAAATTGAAAAAAAATGGTCAAACCAAAAATTAAATGTTAAACTTACGCTGTTGAAAGAGTTCCTTTGCGAATTTCAGGTGCTTCGTCATCAACAATTAGTTCTTCCGGCATTCCTTGTGTATAGAAATTTAATGGTGGCGGTTTCCATATTGAACCGGTCTGGAACATTCGAAATTCCTTCTGTCGCCATTCGGTTGGCGTGTCACCTTGCAGCAATGAAAACAACTTCCATCGATAATAGATGTGCGCCGGACTTTCATTCTCAAACAAAAACCTACAGAGTTTTCATTGGTTTCATTTACTCATCTATTGTCTATGTCTATTGGATTCAAAATGCAGTGCAATGCCAATTCTCGACGGATTTTTATTTTTTTAAAGAAAAACGCGTGCGAATGCGAAATATAACAAAATATACAATAGAATTGTCAAAAAAAAACTGCTAGACGCGTATATTTATGAAAATGTTGACAATTAAATCGTACGCGTCGTTCTTTGAAAGCATTAAATTGAATCAAGGTTATTTAAAAATCGTTAAAATGATCTCATTACGTAAATGGCATACGGTTAAATGGCATTGCACTTTAAACTGAATGATAAAATTAATATAGACGAAGTGGCGAATGAATGTTTACCGAAATGTTGGATTGTCGATTTCTTTGCTCATAATCATTGCCTCGAACATTGGTCCTTCGCGTATAACGAATTCGATCATACGATGAATAAGCGCTAACAGCGGTCTGAAAGCAAACACAAAAGAAATTGTTTGCCCGTTACGATTCACGGATTTACGTGTTTGTGTTGGTTCATTTCGTTGTGTATTTTGAAACCAATTTGTTTTTTTTTTCATATGCCCATTTATCGCATTCGAATTTCGTTTTTTTTTTTTTTTTGTTTTGTTTTGTTTTGTTTTAGCAAATATTTATGTGTACGTGGTTTGGTATGGTAATATAGAGTTAAAAAGAAAGCAAGAAGAAAAATGGGAAACAGAACAGTGTGTAAATATTTTGGAGTATTTGTTCGATCATCAAAATTAAAACTAATTGAATCCACAATAACATTGACTACATCAATAGAATAGTCCATTCAATTGCAAACCAAAATTGCCTGTTCGCGTATTAATTTAAACTCTACAGAATTAATGTAGTTCTTATAAAATAGAAAAAAAATTATTCATATATATCCAACATATAATAATAACAATCATCCCAAATTGAAATTGATTATTTTTTTTACAAATTGATTAAATAAAGCTAGCACAAACGCTGTTTTTAAGAAAATCCTAAGTTTAAATTTAAAATGAAAATCATATCTAATTAAACTAATAATTAGTAAAACATTTTAAGTTTGGAATTTGTTGCATTTTTTTTGTTTTGTTTTATAATCAAATGGAAAAATAAAACCGTTAACAATTTAACTTACCGTTCTGTTGGAATCATAACTTTAACAATACTTTTATAGGCGAGCTAAAAATTAGTTGGTTTGCAATTAATCATAAATTGGAAAAAAAATTGTCGTTGAAAAAAAAAATGAAAAAAATATAAAAATAATTAAAATTAATGTCTATGTTTTTTTTTTGATAGGTATTTTGAATTTGTTTGAGTTTTTGTTCGTATCTTAATTTACGAAATGTATCAAAAGCAAATTTCTTTTTTTTTTTTGAAAAATGTCAAAAAAACGAATCTCTAGTTTTATATACATAGCACATATGTAACAAAAAATATATATATTTCTGAGAGAAAGAGAGAGAATGAATGAGTATTAAATACCTCTTCCATATCACGTTTTATGTCTGGATCTTTGTTGTAATCGTGAAAATAATCTGGCGGTGGAAACTGTGTATATAATTGGTTGATTATGATTAATTGATTTATTCAAATCGATTTTTAGATTGAATTTAGTGATTTAATAAACGAAATGCGAATATAATGTGTGGGTCAAATTTGTGGTAAAAAAAAACAAATATGTTGTCCCGTTTATGAAGATTCATTTGGTTGTTTTGAATGGTTCTTTGTTTTCGTTTAACGAATGTGTGGGTGTGTGTGTTTGTGATTTACATTGAAGACAACGACGATAATGTGATCGTTGAATTAAATGTAAAAGAAATGCACGATATTTGAACTTACATTTTCGGCTTCATTTGGTTGTGGTTGAGCATTGAAAGGCAATCCTGATGGTGGCGGTGGCATATAGTGTTGCATTAACGTGGGCGGTATATAAATTGGATAGGTCATTATTGATACCGATTTTCCCCATCCCAGTTTCATTTCGTAGCCCATAACATCACGTCCATTTAGACAACGGAGCGCACGTTCCGCATCCAAACGGCTCATATAAGCAACAAAACCACAATTTCGACCACGTTGTTTCTCTTCTTCGGACCGTGGCCACATAATTTTGATACTTGCTAATGGCCCATAACGGCCAAAAATCTCCATCAATTGTTGTTCAGTTATTTTTGGACTTAAATTTCCCAAGTATATATTTGTTGTATTCGGATCACCGTTATCCATGGAACCGTATGTGGTCGGTGGTGCATCGGGTTCCCGTGTAAATGCTGCTAACGTTGTATCGGCTTGTATCATACTTTTTGCTATTGTTTTATATTTTGTACGCTCTTCACGTTCCTCTTGCATTCTAAAAAACATCAAATGAAAATAAAAAATGTCTACTTTTGATTTTGACAAATAACATACTGTCTCAATTCCTCTTTGAACAATTCCAAATTACTCTTCTTTTTCTCTTGAGCTTTGTTTTTCTTAGCGGCAGCTTCTTTCTTTGCTGCTGCTGCAGCTGATGATGCCGGTGTTGGCTGCAATTTTGGCTGTTCGTTCGACTTTTCGATGGGTTTCTCGTCATGTTTGGCTTGTGCTTGAGGTTTGTACAATTTTCCCTTTTCCTTATTATCCTCCTCTGTTTGTATTTAAATTTCAATTAATTGATGATTTGATAATAGAATGAATATGATTAAAATTGCAAACACGTACTTCGTGAACCAGCATCATATGTTCCGGCTTTAACCCATACTTTTGCCACCGATGATGGGGCTTCTTCAAATGTTTCCACAAACTCTTTAAACACCTATGAAAATCAATCAAACGAAGTTTTAAAAAAAACACATGGTTTTTGACTAGATAAGTAGTAGATAAACGTATTGTAGTTCACATACAGATGCAGCAGCTTGTTCCTCTTCTCGTTTTCGGCGCTCCTCCTGTTCTCGACGTGACAATGGTCGCTGTCCCATTGCACCAATGGCAAACGCCTGAAGTTTTTGCTCGGCAATTTTCTGCAAATGAAATCGATTACCAAAATGAAGCCTTGCATTGAAATCCTTTTCGCAATTATTCAGTTATTCATGAAATACGGCGCATTTCCCATTAAAATTTCTTTATTTAATGCACCATTTAAAAATGGTATGTATTGCAATCAAATACCGAATAATTGGAAATAATAGCAGTCATACCTTCATTATTAATACCCAAATAATGCAGATAGTCTTTATATCATTCTAATCTCAACTGTAGTGTATACTGTCAAAAATGGATTTACATTACACACACATATAAATATTTTCAAACATAAAATTTTGTTTTCTTCGAATTAATAAGAGTTTGTAATCAGAATCGGTTTGCACTAGGATTCATTTCAGTTTTCCTTTGGAAAAACAACTTAACACAATTCACTCAGTCTAATCAGGCGGCAATGGTTCTTTGAAATTTTCTTCTTCTTTTTTTCACACATCACACCACTGTGTAATCATCGTTTATTTTGAAATGTGTTTTTCAATCTGAAAACTTCAATCGAACTAAATTAACGAAAAAACGAAGAAAAAACACAAAAGAATTTTTGGAACTCAATTTAATTCTCAAAATAGCTTCCTTGACAATCAACCTCTGGTGTCTCTGGTATGAGAGAATATAGCGAATACGACAAATGTAATGTAAAATATTAACCGTATCCGCCTAGTGGTGTGTCGTTCAACTAGGACAAATGCCATCGCCGCTGTCATCTTTATGTTTGACATTTCGATGGAGATGGACAACATTTTCACATCATTTCAAATGTCATATTTCCGCCTCAACATTCAAATCCATTTATTTTCTATTTTATTCAATGAGAAATCATTTTTTTTTTTTTTGGTTGTAAACGAGAAATCTCTTTCACTTTTTGTTTCTTTTAACGACTTAATATTGAGGGTTTTTGTTCATATAATTTAATTACCTCGACTTTTCCGTAAATGAAACGATAATTGATAGTTTAGTAAAAGTAAAACAAAAATCGACTCAATCATTACGTTCAACTGACATTTTCGTCATGTGGCGATGATTTTTTATTTTGAATCGATAACCGCAACAACCGCAATTTTAACGCCCATTTTTATATAAAATTAATAATATATTCTAAATTTGGTTTTATCGATTGTCTTTGATATTTGTTGAAAATTTTAAAAATCAATGTCACTTCATCACTTGAATGTAAAGGTTGTGACATTACCAATTTGCATTCTGTATCAACCAAAAATAGGCATGCATGCTTTTCTCAAACTAATGTATGATAAAAAAAAAATTAGTTAATTGTTTCGCGTTGCTATTTATGGTGTCACGCGAATGATGAATAACTTTATAAGATTCGAATTAAATGCACACTTATTATTTTTATCAATATAATAAATATAATTGGTCAAGCAATTTATTCCTATCTTTTCATTCGATTGATCAAAATGACCAAAAATCTTTTTCCAAATAGAGATACTTCAAATATACACTATTAATTGACGTAAGATTGTCGTGTATTCACAAATAAAGGTATTTAAACAATATTTATTAATCAAAACTTTGGGTATGATTAACGATTTTCATACAAATTACAGTTTTGCACACGAAGAACCACATTTCTAATAGTGACTCAGGCGAAATCTTGATGCACAGTATTTTATCTGAAGATATAACCCAAGTCACCGATGAAATTATTTCAGAGAGATGATGTCTCAGATGAAATGTAGTCCACACAGTGATCTAAATTTCGTTTCAAGACACAAACCTTCAGAAATCAATCCTTCACATGGAAAACTGTGAAAATAGTAATCGTATCCAAACTTTTGATTGATAGAGCGTATATTAATGACATTCATCCTCTCATATTTTTTTTTGCTATTTTAAGCTTAAATTTAAAAAAAAGTTGAATTCATTTAGTCAATGCAAAAAAAAAAGATTTCCAAAAATAGAATCAACGATGAAACGTTTTATATAAAATGTCATCGATGTTCACAAAAGTTTTATGACATTTCAAAATAGAAATACATTTGAATTGATCAATCGGTGATATAAATAACGGTCATCAAACTGATAGTTCATTGAAAGTTTTCATAATTCGTTATGCACACCGTTACATTTCATAGTAAATTAGGAAAATAAGGTAATTTTGATGCCATTTATATAAATTGAAAGTAAAATGAATTTGACCAAATCAATGCATTTTTTTTTGTATTCTCTTGTATCGTTGATGGTCGTTCCAATGAAAATTAGAAAACCAAAATTATTATTCAAAACAAAAAAAAATGGTTATTTTCCGTGCGAGAAAAAACCACATCGAATACTCTTTTTTTTTATCTTCCGGAGTATTATAATGGAAGATTAAATTAGTTAGCAATGATTTAAATGATATGTTTCACCTTGTAGATTGTTTTTTCTTTTTCGTCTAACTTTTCATTGGTCCAATGATATTTTCAATAAAAATGTTTCCACATTTATGCTAGAATTCCGAACTTCCATGGAACCAATTTTTACAAATCGTGCTTCAATGAGTTGAATATTTTCCATCTTTATTGAGATTGATTAATCGTATTTCTGATTACAAATCGCTCTGATTCCAGCCAATGCCGTTCATTCATCCAATACATAATAATTATATGTGATCTTAACATGTGTGTGTGTGTGGCGATTAAGAAGAAAAAATGAATATATCAAATCGAAAATGCTATTATTTGATTGTGCCGTGCATTTCATTGCAATGTACTTAATTGTTTTGGAATATGCGAAAAAAAACCAAAAGAAATAATGAATCTTTGTAAATAAGATATAATTTTGCCGATTTTTAACACTCGGCTATTAAGCATAATTACTGCAATAATTTCAACCGATTCGAATTTGGGTGTAAACGGAAAATTCGTAAAAAATACGACCTCGTTCAAGGGTTCGTCTTTTTTACTGTTTGTGCTGAGCTGCAGAGCTTCAAATGTCAGTTCATAAAATGTGTGCGATTTTTCTCTCTCTTTTCGATTGCATATTGCTATTATTGTGTTACAGATTCATATGCATACATCATAAACGATTGCAAATGTTTTGGGAAGAATGATGAAGATAGTGAAAAAGGAAGGAAAAAAACATTGTTGAAAAATATGAATTTCAGAAATATTTCACACACCGTAGTATCTTTTTTTGTATCCAATTCATCCGAAATATGGTAAATACACATATCGCACAGGTCTATAAGACGACTACCGTTTTGTGTTGCCGCGCTCCACACGAAATACGGAGACGGAGTGGGGCTGAATTGGCAATGCAGCAACAACTGAAAGAGAAAAGAGAACAAACGATCGAATAAAACTGGATACACAAACGAAACAGAGCGAAATACATTGAATTGAATGAACAAAAGTAAACAAGAGTCGAATCGTACGCCAATTTAAAATCAGTCTAAGTTGAAACACTGTTCGTAACAGTAACCAAAATTTTACGCCAGCTGAGCCAAACTCTCAGTCGCTCTCAGTTCTCATTTGTTTGTTTATAGTCGAATGTGAATTTTTCGATTCGGTTTGTTCCAAAAAAAGGTGAATTCTAACGTGTGCAATATATTTATAAAAATCAATCGTTTGTGCGTGCATTCGTCGTTGTAGACGAGAATCGATTTGTGCTTGTGTGTGAACATTGGAAGAAAAAAATAAGGTGTAAAGTAACATTCCATTATTGGTAACAACACGCCGAAGTGAAAAATTAGCTCATTCCATTGCATTTGCTACTTTATATATATTTTTTATTTTCAACGCGGAACCATGTACGTATATGCTATTTTCAAGTAATCAATTCCTCTTTAGACTATAATTTTAGCGTTTGTAATTGATTTGATTTGAAAGTGATGATGATTTTGTATAAACAGTTAAACATTGTTTTTTGTACAAATATCGATGACAATTTTATGCTCGTTAAACGTTAGCGTGAGTCAATGATAAATCGATCGATTTTATAGGGAAGAGAGTAAGCGATGTTTTTTTGGGATCATTTGCAATTCAAATGAGATATCAAACGAATTGTGTGGTTAACTCTCATAATGTTAGATAAATGGAGGTCGAGTTTTGTAGTTTTTTTTCTACATATCTTCACCCGGAATACATGGTTTTTACAATTTTTATAACGAAATCAATAAAAAAAAATTCACCAAAAGTGTGTGTGTGCAAATGTGCACCACAAAATGATAGCATCAATTTTGGTATTTTGAAAGAGATGAAAGTTTGAATAAAAACATTCCAACATTTTGTGTTATCTAACGGCCCATTTCTGAGCATATAATATCATAATTTACAAAACATTGTTGTAGCAACATAATCAATCGCCGCTTAACACGCAACAATCGCCAATTGAATTTGTCACTTTTTCTTTCACATATGTGAATCGCATTTAGCAGTTTCAACTCACCACATACTTTTGTTTTTGTTTCGATTTCATTCTGTTACCTTTTTTTTGATCAAATAATACGACGAAGCAAAAAAAAAAATTGCAGATGAAAAACAGGTTCTTTCGTTTTGAAATGCGAATCTCTATGTTGTTGCTTGAATCGTCCATCCAAAAAAAAAACCTGAAGTGGAATTTGCCGTTTGAAATTGTTTATTTCGAGAGATTAATCGGTTACCAACGAACCATTTGCATACGCAAATGGCGAATTTGTCATCAATACCATGAAGGTGTATTGTTGTTAAGGCGCAATGACCAAAACGGGTTCAGCTTTGATATGGCACCTTGCAAAAACAAAAAAAATGAAAATCGATTTTAGATTTATTGTGATTAAAATACTACAAGCAAAACGGGAAATAATCAGAAAACGGGATGTTTTTGCATATCAAGCCCGAATCTTTGTAATCATGAATGTAATCATCTCATTTGTAAGAGATAAATTGATAAGAAATCGCAATTATCAAACAGGCTTTTGGTTAGTGCATTGTTGCGCTTATCGATAATAAACAATTTCAGGAACTGACGGACACTGAAATTTAAGTAAAAATTTCAAGTTAGTTTGGTTCATTTAAATCATTTTAAAACTTTCAAACACAATGGGTCCAAATTCCAAATTTGTTGCATTCGAAATAGCGTGGATTTTATGTGCAATCTTTTGTTGTCATTTCAAGTATTTTCAAGCGAAGAAAGACTTTCATTTTTTCCAACTCCCTGAAATGCAAAGAAAGGCAACCAATACAATTTAAAGCAATGCGGTTTTCAACTTTTCATTTTCGATTTTTTTTTTTTTTTTTTTGCAATTAATAGAAAATGATGGGCACATACACATATACTATTATTTAAATGAGATTTAACACAATGAATGACCCAAAATAATTCGGAACCATAGTTTTGGTTTTCCAAAGAATTTTGGCACATTTTCATAATATACAAATAAATACCTGCTAAATGAATTTCATTTGTATGTAAAATGATTTCGATATAATTGAACCGATACACAAACGTGCACAAATGCCTGTACGACGCAATACGTATATTGTTGGTAATGAATATTTTCATTTAAAAGAGAAAAAAAATATATATAAAAAAACAGGTAATAGCTAATCCACAGTGTGTTGAAAATTATATAAAATTTGAATAGGCAGTAACAATGCCTCTACCACCAGCCGCAGTAAAAATGATGTATATGTTGAAAACTTTTTAAAATTCCATCATATTTTGCTACTACTGCGGCTGACTCGGAAATAATTGACGAATACTATCCGAAAGTGGAAAAAACGGAATGAAAAACACAATTTTTGGACATGCATTTACAAAGTTGATTTATCATATTTTTGCACTATATTTTATACCAAAGAAACTAGACGTTTTTACTATTTGATATGTTGCATGAATGTCTATGCGAATGTGTGAAAGTCACTCTATTTTGTGATGTATTTCGGAAGATCACTAAAAATTCAGTGTGAACAAACAAACGCTTGAATCCACAAATTAAACATCATTATTACATTACTGTATGGTATATAGTCATGGTAAATGCAAAATTTATGTAATTTATTCAATTTATAGTGTGTCTCCTATATAGACGTTGTGTCTGAACATTACTAAAACTTGTTCTATTTTTGGGGTGACTTGAGTTTGGATACGGCCATCCCAGAACATTGATGACATGAACAATGTCGATTTCACAGTGAATCGTCAACCTACCACAAAGTGTACACATACTTTTTTTGTTCTTGTATACATACAAAATAAATATTTGGATTTTATCACAGCTTATATGAATATTTACGCATTGTTTGATCGGCGCTTGTATGAATGATCAAATCGTCTAGTATCGATGCGACCGATGAATGGACTTTGTCTATACATAAATGATGAAAATCTGCGGTATTTTACGTATTTGATAAGATTGAAGATCGTGTGTAAAAATTTGTAGGTCACTCGAAAAAGATAAAACATACAAGGATGGGTGCGTTTATTCAAAAAAAAATTTGGAAAATTTTTAATGATTTTGTTGGAATGAAGATAAAAAAAATCGAAGAACTTTTTCGAACAGTCCATAAAATTTATGGAAACGAAGAATCAAATGGTTTTTATGGCTAAAAAAAGACGTCACGAGCATCTGATCACAAAATAATAGTTGAATGAATATTTTGATAGCATAGTGATAGCGAACACCAAAATACGCTCTGGGTCATAAATAATATGTCCGAAACGGAAAAACGGAAAAAAAACAAAATATAAATCGCATTTTAATTCAAGGTTGATTAATTTATTTACTTTTTGGACAAACTCGTTTATATCTCTAATCGATATGTATTCGGTAATCGAAAATGCTTGACTGGGATGAAAGAACTTTTACCACGTGCTTTTTCCCGACCAGAAAAACCAGAAAAATTTGTATACATTTTCACAGAGATTTTATTCGTTCAAAGTTCATTTACGTGATCGTGTCGTTTACATTGAAATTCGGTTGCTATTGAAAACAAAAAAAAAAAAAAATCGGATGAAAGCCTCTCCGATGGGATCAAGGTGATAAATGTACGCAAATGCCACTTTATTCACGAAAAATTTCGAGCCACAACATTCATGGTTTCGTCGAACAAAAGATTTGAACTATCAAAAAAAGAGCACCAACAACTTAGCGAGCACTTTTCGAGCGACGAACCTTAAAAAAGAGTTTTTTGATTTCGAGGTTGAACTGCCGATTGATGCCAATGGGCCAATGGGTGTTCGATGCGAACACCAAAACAATCCCATTCAAATCGAAACCAAATTCGAGAAGATTCAACATGTTGGCACAGCCGAAAACCATATTTTGCCATTGCATTCAGAATGGTAATATTGTTTATACATCTTTCAAGCGTGTATTAAGTGGAAAAATTCCAACGACAACCTAGTCTATTCGATATTTATTGAAATATTGAGTGGCAATTCGATGGTCAATCAACCGTGTATATGGTATTAATTGCTCAATCAAAAATATGTTTGCATTAGTTTTGGCTGAATATCGAAATTAATACGGGGAAAAGAAACGAAAACAAAACATATTGAATAAAAAAGAGAAACAAATGAAATGTGCCATGCGATGAATGCATGCAAACTCAATACACCATCATAAGAACTTATACTGAAAGCAATCGCACATTGCAAATAAGTGCTCGCATTCACCGCAAAACCAACAACAGACCAAAACATGTTTTTCTACATTTTCCATTTTAATGCAAGCCAAGCACACACACACACACACATACCCGTGAATTACGCAACGATAAAAACGATTCTTTAGTTTAGATTTACAATGCGATTTTTCAAGTTTTTTTTTTCGTCGAAATCAGGTCTGAACCGATGATATCAAGAACGATGGAGACTGCACTAACAGTGACAGTATTGACGTCATACATCTTGTCCAATTATTCTCGGCAATATTAAATTCATTAAAACGACAATGGATATTTCCGAGGCTGTGCGAATTTATTTTACTTTTCCCTTCCCAAAAAATCACAATTTTTACACAAATATTCAATTTTTTGATTTGGCAAATGCTTTCCATTACAGAATCGATTACGCACTATTCAAAAAAGTGCCACTTGACTTTGATGCTAAGCAGTGATTGGTTACATTTTAGTATTCGGTTACATTGTTACCGTCGGACATTGCATTGCATTCGGATGTGGGAGTAAAAAAAAAAATAAAATTTCGAAACATCTTTTTTCCGATTCAAATTTTATTCGATTTGCAACTAATTGAAATAATTATCATTATCATTATTTTAATTGAATAGTAATCACAATGACTTTTAAAATGTGCGTGATAAATGGTTGAACGGACGATAAATTTTCGTGTAATTGTCGTCGAATAGAAGTAAAAAAAAATGAAGCAACATGGAAAAAGAAATGTCATCGATTATGCTTGATGTCTACTTAAACACGTAATCATTTTCAGTTTATAATTCTGATGAAAAAAAAGTTCATAAATTAATTGCCAATGTTCTCTCTTTTGGACATAAGTGTTTTTTGTCCGCTTTTATTTGGCGTTATTGATACATCGAAACCAATTAAGTTGGTGTGCGCCGATATTATCGAAAAGAAACCATTTTTTTTAAAGAGACATCATAATGAAGTGGTAATTTTGCATGCATGTTTCCCGCCAAGAGTATTCATGTTAACTTACACACTTTTGGCTTCTTTTTTTGTGCGGCTGATCACTTGTATTGCGAATGCATTTAATTTATTATTGTTTTGGCATTGTTTTTGTATGATCGAGCCAATTTATCGTACATTTTGCAATCTCATTTATTATGATTCATGTCATCTTCTCTGCATGCGTCATACGATGAAGTTGGATCGAATGACATGCAGTGTATCATTTAATTGTTAATGTTATTGTTTTAATATTACCCATATGTTTTTTCATCAAAACAAAGTAATAATCATTTATTTAATGCGTTAATTACGCTCAGTGCATTATCAAATACCATGGGAATTTGTTAAATGTCTTGAGAAAATGCTATAATTCAATTGAAATCGTTGCAATTTTGGATTGAAAAAGTTCAAAAAATAACAAAGAACCATCGCGATTTTTTTCTCTTTCGCCGTTTTCATTCTACAATATTTACTATAGACAAAAATGCGTTTTATGACGCGAATGGTTGACCCCAAAACTCCACATTCAACAAGTTTATCTGCAAGGTTTTCGACACCGATGTGTGTTGTTGTTGTTGTTTTTTTTTGCGTATAGAGAAAATTAGCCAATGAACGATCCAAAGCCTTTACCATATTACCTGAACCACTTGAAACCGAACACCGTACACGTAAAATCTTCAGTGAAAGTTACAAAATACGATGCGTGTAATCGTATGTGTATTGTGTGAAGTAGTGTAATATAAAATGAAGCCCCCGATGTTTGTATGAATGAGCATTGCATCTTATTTGCTCGAAAATACAAGAATGATATCCAAAATATAAATAAATGGCAGCATGTGAAAAAAAATACAATAACCAAACCAAAGCAAAAAGCACTGAACACATAATAAAGCAGAAACTCGGTGATTTTGTTCAACGGCGAATACAGTTTAGTAATGCTGATCGCCTTCGACCATTCGAACAGTAATTTTATTCGACAGCATAGCGCTACACACACATGGATATTAATGCCTTGCATAATTTTATGGTAGCAGCTTAATCGCAATCATAAAATACGATGACGTTTTTTTTTATTTAACAAACCCGAAATTTATGTACGTTTGCTGTCCGATTACGTTATCGCATGCATGTGTGTGTGGTTTTTATTTGCAAAATGTTTTCATTGATAAAGAAATTGTCTCTCGAAGTCTTTACTTTTGATAGAATTTGATCGCATGAACATTACTTTTATATATTCAAAAATTATATTTTAACATCTTGTTCATTTTTTAAAAGAAATGACAACGATTTTCACACTGACAGTAGTTGATGAGCAAAATAATTAACAAATTGTTTTTCCGTTCAACTGATGGGTGTGAAATGACGATGTAAAAAAAAACTGCAGACATAACTAAATGTAATTTCTCATAATTTCATGGTCATTGAATAGACGAAAAAAATATCTAAGAAAATTAGTTGGAAAAATATGCACAAGAAAGAATGATTGTTTATGTCTGGTTCAGACAGAAGTGTCATCAAGATTTTATTTTTAAATTAGCCATTTTTCCACTCGCGAGCAAAATATTAACCTTAGCATAATTGCGCTCATAATTGCACCAATTATTTAGAAGTTCCAGACTGTGTTGAAATTTTATAATTGTTCGCTTTAATTTCAATTTCCGTAAATGCATTATAAACGCCTTAATAGCAAAAAAGCAAATTCATGCATTTTTTGAAGAAAACATTTTTTTTTTTATTAAATTACATTTTGTAATTTGTGTGTATATTTTCGCATAATTTAAACACAAATACTATTTTAATAATTAGTTAGCAATTTACTAAATATTCTACCATTTATAATGACCGTGAATCCACCTTAAATTGAATGTGTTCAGCTTGAATTCGGTTCGGTTCAAAAGTCACTTGAGAGAGGTGGGTTGTTTTTTTAATATTTTATTTTTAAATTTCGATTCAAAGAGGAACCAATTAAATATTTGGACGATTATCCTGAAGAAATCTGATGAGAAATTCCAAATTAAAATATTTTATGACATCAGCGAATAATGAATGCAGCAAAAATGCATGACGACCTTTCGTAGCATCAGTGAATATATCGATAAAATCAGTCTGAAAATCAATGCAATATTTTAAGATCTGCATGCTTCGCTGCCGCCATGAAAAGCATTATAACACTGGACGGAGGAATGACAATAACAAAAAAAAAGTTTCATTGTCAGTTGAATAATTCCGACAAATGAAGAAAAAGTGAGCGCGGACGGAAAAAAAGTGCGATACAAAATCATAATAAGTTTGTTGCAGCATCCAAACAGTACAAGTAATTTAAGCGATTTGATAAGCAATCCAACGTTTACCATGAAATGGTGTTACTTTTGTGACCAAACATTCACCGCAAACGAACCAAACCCCACAATTTAAAAAGTAAATTTTAACCGACGCACACCACACTTTCAATAATGGTTACTTTTTTTTAATAAATTTTTTTTTATATGTTTGCGGTCGAAATTTTTTGGCTTTCTAACCAAACAGTTACGAGACTACCAAATTTATACATTTATTGTGGTAACAGTGATACACACAACGCATCTATGGTAAATGATGGCCAAATGCGCGGTTTTTACCATTCAAATTGAAATTCAAATTGTTTTCTTTGAAATTTATACATTCATATCATCTATTTTTATCCGAATTTTTTTTTTCTGTTTATAAATCGATTAAAAACGATTGATTGTACTTTGAAACTACCTCAATGAGAATTAAATGTCATTGCGTTAAATTTGACCACAACAAAAAGTTTATGTAATATTTTGAATCACTTCATGATTGAGACAGAATAAAAAAGACACTCGAATGATCTGCAGAAGTATATATAGATGTGGCTTGAGTGAATTTTATTTTTAGATGTTATTCTTTGGTCGAATAGTTCGGCTGTAAACAGTTCCACTTCTTTTTTTTTATTAATTATAAATGAATATTTAATATTGTCGCTTAATTAATTACATACAAAAACATTTTATTCTGGAACTCTTTGCACCACTAGTAAGAAAGTATTTGAGTTTTTGGTTTCTTGTTTTTTATTTCGATCACACTATGTGATATTTGTACAATTTTTTTTCGTACATTGTAAAAATGATGCGTCAAGTGTAAAAATTGATTTTATTATGTGATCAAATCAATCGTAAAACAACAAAATCTAGTTGTAAATTACGCATAAAAATTGAAGCGATAAATGTACTACCAGTTTTTTAGTGTGTACAAAACCTTTCGTCATTTTGCACCACAAATCCATAACAAATCCATTACGTACTCTTAACGGAGAAAAAGAAACCCTCAAAGCATTTCGTAGAATATACAATTTTTTTCATGCGTTTGTAGTGTGTACGAGCATCTGTAATATGTCCGAAAATTTTCGTGGTGCAAAATTGTTTTGTACAATATACTAAATAATTTTCTCAGTGTGCAAATTTTGATAGATGAAGGTCACAACGTAACTATTTGTAATAATAGCGTTGCTATGTTATTCAAAAAATAAACAAACGGACAAATTTGCACAAATTATAGAATATATATACGGATACACAAACAACAAAGAAACATATGCAAATTCCGGTTTAAAATAAATAGCCAAAAAGGGAAACCACTTCGATTTTGGGCTAGTTGTATTTCAGTATCTATCGACGTATAATCACATACATACTGTCTCAGAGTAAGTGATGTCAAGAAGTGATGATATCGTCAATTCAAATCACAAAGACCAACATTTACACTGTGATTATTGATTTATTTATTTATTTACACTGTGATTATTTATTGAATTTGAACAGTGACAGGATATCAATTTAAAATCGTTTATTCAATTAATTGATGATCGCGACATTAATGCGAAGTTATAATAGTGTCTTTTCGCGCCTCGTTAGATTGAGTTATAATACCCATTACACAAATTAAGCATCAGTGTGTTGAAAAACAGAAAAGACTGTTGTTTCAATCATTTGATCCGTAGACCCTTACGTGAATTAAATACCTTTGTAATAAATGATATTGTATGTGGTATGCAACAACGACGAGAACAATTTCGAGTAATGTTCACAATTTACGTATATCGATTGAAAAGTGTTTAATCCATTGATGGTAAAAAGTGATACAAAATCTCTTTCGAAATCACGTCAACAAAAAAAAATACACTTTATTCGCCATAAAAGTAAAAGTCAATAATATTTGCGGTATAAACCTATCGTCAGTCTAATCGTTGATAGTTATGAGAGCAATTAGTTAAGGTTTTAGAATTTAAACGAAAATAATCTCACAAATGATGTTATTAACCGTGCTTTCTCTATTTCATTGCAGCTAATAAATCAAAATGAGTAAATCAGAGCAATTAACGCCCATACAAGAACTTTATAAGGGCAAAACAATTTTCATTACCGGGGGATCTGGCTTCATGGGCAAGGTAAATTAAAACCGGCTGCGAATTTTCATCACATACAATTTTTGTTTTTGTTTTTTTTTTCATTATATTTATGGTTTCGTTGTAGGTTTTGATCGAAAAATTGTTGTACTCATGTTCGGAACTGAAGCAGATTTTCTTGTTGATTCGACCAAAAAAAGGAAAGTCACCAGAATCGCGTATTGAAGATATGTTCAAAATACCGGTAAGTGGGCCATTTATATTTTGTTTTGTCTTCAACGAGTTGAACAGACGTTTTGTTTTTATGGAGTTTTTTTTTTTTGTCTTGAAGAAGAAAAAAAATGTCAATAAATGCGTGTGTTATTATAACGAAGCGGTGTATAATTTACGTCTGATAGGCGATTTTCATTTAGCTGTGTCATTGATGCCCGTCAAAAATTCGATTCAAAGCGTATTTACGCAAAATGTGTATATTGAATGTCACACGCACTTGAGAGCTTTTCACATACTTGAGCGATATACACCTTTTATGTATTTACATGATGCGCTCGTGGCAATGAGAAATCGGAGATTCGGTAATAAATTATACATTGATGCATTGCCTGTGACATAAGTAGTCATGAGCAATTTTACAAAAATTTATGCATATATAAAAAAGCGCTTACGGCATTTTCTCTTCATTTCTCTATCTCATTATTTTCTTTCTCTATGTTTTTTGTATGAAGATGAATTGTGTGAAAAAAAGAGTGACAATATTGGCCAAATTTTGAAAGAGGCAAAATGATTCAAGCACAATTATCGAGTTCAATTTCACCGGAAATTTTCATAAAAAATTGATATGAATAAATTTACCGACCAATTTGTTTGGTATCGTATTTGTCGTTTGTATTAAACAAAAACTACGATAATGAACTGAAAATGTTGGATGAAAAAAAAAATTGTGGGACGATCAAAGACACAATTATATGCCAAATTTAAGGCGATAATGATATTTTTTTTACTCACAATATTGAATCAGATTTAAAACATAAGATTTACCGAAATAAAAACAACACGAAAGTGATTGTCTGATTTTGAATATATTGATTGCATAAAACACCAACGGAAGATTAAAATAGATGCATTTTAACGTTTTCTTTGATTAAACCATTCACTTCGTTTACTAAATTTAATCCATATGTTACGGTCAATTCAGAGGTAAACCTCTCTTTTTTCGGTAAAAATATGCACGATCGTACACCAACCAATCTGATGTGCTCAAGGTGAATGAACGTCAGTTTTGTCCATTGAATCAAATGAACGAAAACAATTTCGAGTCAAACATAAAAAAAAAATTCAATTTTTCTATAAAACATACTGATGATTGTTTTGTTTATCGAAAATGTTCCGCAGGCTTTCCAACGTATAAAAGAAGAGAAGCCCGATGTTATGAAGAAATTGGTACCAATTCAAGGCGATGTGACATTTGATAAGCTTGGCTTGAGCGGCGAAGAATTGGAACGAGTGTGCCGAGAAACAAACATTGTGTTCCATTGTGCGGCCACATTACGTTTGGAGGCAAACTTAAAAGATGCACTTGATATGAATACAACTGGAACAAAACGTGTATTAGATGTTGTTCGTGAAATGAAAAATTTATTGGCATTCATTCACTTATCAACGGCATTCTGTTATTGTGATCAAGAGGTATTACTCGAAAAGGTATACGATTGCCCGCACGATCCAAATGATTTGATCAATTGTGCCAAATGGATGGATGTTAAAGTATTGGAAAAAATTACACCGGAAATTTTAAATCCACACCCGAACACCTACACTTATTCAAAACGTTTGGCTGAAATTCTTGTACAAAATGAATATCCAAAAATGCCGGTGTGCATTGCACGACCAAGTATCGGTAAGTAAATTTTTTTTGTAATTAAAAAAAATGTCAGTTTGTGATGTTTATCGCGTTTAATGAGCATAAAATGTATTAAATTAACCATTGACAAAATGAAAATTGATACGTTTGTAATCAGAGCTGTTATGAGCACCACAGAGGTATCGCAGAGACTTTCTTGTAAGTGCTGCTCTTTCATTTGGGTGCGGCACTTGAAAATATAGAATAAGTGCTTACACTTCTCCGGTGCCAATAACACTTCTGGATACAATATAAATCTAAACACGGTTGTCAAATGTTTTTATTATACTTTGCACCTCGTTTTTGATGCAACGATAAAAATCGGATGCAGAAAAAAATACCGATTTGGATACAATGTAAAGCTACATGAAGAAACGAATAAACGCTTCGAAACGAATTGAAAAATACCTGAGTCGAGTAGCTTACAATGATAATAATAATAATATTGGTTATAATAGATGCACATCAATGTATGCAACAAAATAAAATTCGTAATCGTTTCAATTGACTGCATATGATCGAATGCAATGGCGATCATGTCAAAAGTCGCAAACTACATGCACACACGATCAATTTTCCAAAAATGATTACATCTAATTCAAATAGTTCATAATATTTTCTGCATTTTATAAGCTAATGAAACGGCACATCAATCTTAGCACTTAAGTATATGATGGGTGAAACGAAAGCATATATCGCGCACCAAATCAATTATCCATAATTTTATTTCATACATACATCCTCATTGTGTTGGTGCAATGCAAAATAAAAGAGAGAGAGAAAAAAAACCATGTATGGTATTTTTCCACAAAGTCACAAAATGATGTGTGTTTACAATTACTCTCAATCGTTTGTTCGTAAATATATATATTCATATTTAACGTTGCATATATTCTTAGATCATTTGGCTTCATGTTACTGGTTCAGTAACAATAACGTGCTTGCTTCACAAGCAAAACAACAACAACAAAACGCCACACATACACAACATTGACGATTGCATGCGATGCTTGCTTTTTTTACCACTTTGTTGCTGTGCATTTTTTGTATACTCCACTTGGTCTTGGCTCGTTTGGTTTGAATCTATATTTCTCGGCACCGGTGGCTTTGCAACATTTTGTATGTTTTATGTACTCACAATTATTTACCCACTTAATTTGAACGTCGCTTAATATCTATATAATGGCATCTTTCGCATCCAAGCGATGATGATTGCGAAATATCGCCGTTGTCATTTGCGGCCTCAACTCCATATCTTCTACACATTCATTCATTTCATTTTTTGTTTATGATCATATTTTTTTTTCTCAGTGCACATTGAATTGCATTCCTCTAAATTTTATGCCAATTTTTATTTGTGCACATCAATTACAATCGATATCCATATCACACAGCAAATGTGATGATAGGTAAATTGTAATGTACACTTGGTATTGTATCATATGATGATGTTTGACGTAGTTCGATGTTTATTGACCCCAAAAATATACCATCAGGATGGAAACGTTGCTACCTAATGTTTTTGTCATGAGTTTTCCATCGGATTAGTCATGTTTGTTATCAGACATTTCTGAATTGTATCGATATTAAAATTGAAATTTACGCACATTTTTCTCGCATTACCTTCAAAGTGACTGAAAATCGTTTACACCCAAACAACCTTGCGTATATTGATTATTGTTTTTTTTTTTACCTTTGGACGGCTTAGCAAATAGGCGTTTTTTTTAGTTAAAGCTGTTGTTAAAGTGATGAGTATTTAGTAGGCTCTTCAAAGCCGTTAATTTACATAGTCATAAACACACTTTTTTCTATCAATTTTCACATTTTCAGGTAGCCATTTACAGCCTACTAAATATCATCGAAATGGCTTTATTTGTTTTGTTATTTCTTCTTCTTCTTTGTTTTCAAAGCATGCCAAGTCAAGTGCATCAATTAAATCAACTTATTTGATGAAACCGACCGTCAACTTTTTCAATAAAGATATCAATCTGTGCCATAGACTATCTAATTGCTTTTAACAATCCATTTTATGAGCCATTTTACTCTTCGACTGAATTGCATTGAACATACATTCGTAATTTATCGTATTTGTACGTGGTGACAAATTATTTAAGCGCAACGAACCATGTAATTTATTTACGTTTTTGAAATTAAACACTTAATCATCCTTTGATCAAATGACACATTTTCATATGCAGTATTTACCAAAATGTGTTTGTTTTTTGAATCATGTGAAAGTGTGGGGGATTTTTTTTTCTTTATTAAATTTTCGGATGTTGAAAAGCTCTTGTTCTGTTTACGCCTTTTTCTAATTACACAATTTTCTTTGTATTTGCAGTATCGCCAGCATGGGAAGAGCCATGTCAAGGATGGGTAGACAGTTTGAATGGTCCAATTGGTATCATGGTTGGTGGTGCTAAAGGAGTCATTCGTACTATGTTGTGCAACGGTGAATATCGTTCTGAAGTCATTCCGGTCGATATTGCCATCAATGGTTTGATTGCCATCGGTTACAAAATTGCAACAACTCAACAAAAGTAAGTTCTAATTTAGGAAGAGAAAAAAATTCTAAACTCGAGTTGATTTTTTGTTTTGGAATTGTCCATTTTGACAGGCCAATGAACATTCCAGTTTACAATGTTACGTGCTCCGATAGCAAGAAAGTGACATGGCGTGAAGTGCTCGATCAGGGTAAAGCACTTAATTACAAATATCCATTCGAAGGTGGTCTCTGGTATCCAGGTGGTGATATGACCACATCCAAACTCGTCCATAGCTTGAAATTATTCTTTTATCAATTATTACCGGCTTATTTAATCGATTTTATCATGTTGTGCATTGGACAAAAGCGATTGTAAGTTCAAATTCTAATGTTAAAAAGACATACAGTCTAATATAAAGCTGTTATTTTCAGCATGGTACGTGTTCAAAAGCGAATTTACGATGGCTTAGATGTTTTGCAATTCTTCACAACTCGCCAATGGGATTTCCGTACCGAACGATTCTTTGGCCTCTACAATGAACTCACGCCGCAAGATCAGCACATGTATGTAGAAATCTTCTGTTTTTTTTTAAATTATTATTTGTTTTATTCCCTCTGAAATGTGAATATTTTCCGATTTCAGATTTAACATGGACACCGACGGTATTCCAGATCTTGAATACTTGAAACGTAGTATTCTGGGTGGTCGTCAATATTGTCTGAAAGAACCATTGACAACACTACCAAAAGCTAGACGTCAATTGAAAGTGTAAGTTGAATTTAGAAATGCGTTTCTTGTTATTTGGTAATTGACATAATTTTCCTTCATCATGCAGATTGTGGACCATTGATTTTATTGCCAAGATTTTCTTCTACGGTCTTTTCTTGTGGGCATTCTTGTCATTCACTGGATTGAAACAATACATAAGCGTGCTTTTTTCTGAATCGCAAGAAGGTTTCTTGAAATCAAATTAAACAATCATAAGTTCATCGAACATTCGAAATGCAGAATAGTTTCTTTAAATTAGTTAACCGAATAGAGATAAAAAAAAAACGAGGAACGACAACAACAATTTATCCATATAAGCCAAAACCAAGTTACGGCGCAACAATTTTTTTGCGGTTACTCATTCACCATACAATACAAGTAGTTTGTTGAGGAACAAGGGTACGACATTTTTTTCTGCTAGATACTTGTAGCTTCTTTGGTATAACGTATTGGCATGATGCAAACCATACAACTTCTTTTTTAATTATTACAAATTAGTTAATTTTTTATACAATTTTTTCATTTAAACGAAAATTTAAATAAAATGTTGAAAATTTTAAATTATTTAGTGTTTTTCTTTTCTTTCTTTTAGTTTAATTTTGAAGAAAAAAAAAATGAAATTAATCAATGAAATGACTTATATATTTTCGAAAGGGACCATTCAATTCTGATGTAGATAAAAATGTCGACAAATCCATAAAACAATCGATTACTTCGAAAAATAAAAATCTATATGCGGACGCAAATACACAATTAACGCCATCTGTCGGTTCATTTGGTCGAAGAAAAAACTGACACTTCACATTATGTTTATAATTTGTGAGTGTGGCGAATTCAATAGTCAGTCCATAAGTATAATACATTTTAATAAGATCCAGTCAGAAAATAATACTTGCCATTGATATTCTTACTATAGTAATTTTGGAAGATAAAAGCTATAGAAAAATTGGACAAAATAGTTAGAAAGGCAACAATTTTGAATATTCGCTAAGAAAAACAACAAAGAAAAAAACACATTGTACAAATAAAAACTAGAAGAAATAAATTTGATTCATCAAAATGCTGCAACTTGTCATAAAAGTGTTAAAAGGTGGAGAGTGTCAGCTTGAGGTAAGCCATAAGAATGCATTCAATCTATTCATGAATAATTCAAAAAATTGTGTGTATGCATTTATTTATTAGGTCAACGAAGAAACTAGCATTTTGGAATTGAAGAAGGAAATCTCAAAAACATTAAATATTCCGGTGCCACGACAGAAAATCCTGCACGTTGGCCGTACATTACATGATGACAAACCACTGAGTGCATTCCCACAAATAAAAAGTGGCTCCAAATTGACGGTTGTGATGAAAGAGCCCGAACCACTAAAAGATGTTATGTGCAAAATATTCAAAAAATATTATTCAGACGAGCAATCCGAATTCATGGCAAAGGAATTTATGGCCGATTTTGACAAACGTTTAGAACAATTAAGTCTCGACGATTTCGAGCGTATGGCCACGTATTACTTGGAACGTGATCGAAAACTGTTTCGCGAATAGATCAAATTCATCGGATTTTGTGAATGGTTTTTGTATTGGAAATGAGAAGGAGTAGGGAATTAAGAGAAAAAAAAACTACAAAATAACAAAAAGTTCCAAGAAAATTAAACATATTATTTGTTTTGTTTTTTTTTTTTAAGTTATCGGACGATTATGATAAATATTACTTAATTTCAATGAGCTTGTAATCAGAACTGAAATAAATCGAAAATACAGACAAAAAACTCACAAATTGCAGAAACGAAATAAAAAAAAATCATCATCATTTTGTACATTTAAATAAGAAAGAAACGACAAATGAATAAATGTGTATTGTTTTGGTTCATCAAAGCATAGATTGTTTTCATTCATTCGCCACAAATTCAAAGTTATAACCTCACATTTTATGCATTCAATTCGCCGTTTCACTCTGTTGTGAGTGTGTTTTGATTTGAACTGTCATTGTTGAATGTTTTGCGCGCAAAAATGCTTTTGTTGTTATTGCCTTTTCATGTTGATTCGATTTGGATTGTTCGTGTTTTAATTTTGTGTTCCAACAATTTTTCGTAAACATGGAAACGAACAATGAAATAGTGCCAGAAACACCAGATATGGAATTTAGCGAAGATGTTGCAATGGAACAAGAAACGCCCGACATTCATTTTGACGAATTACACGCAGAAGACGAAACGCCGGATATAAATTTCAGTGAAATTTTCACGGACAAAAATCAAGAACGTTTTATAGCCGAAGAAAGTGATATTGATGATTTGGACGAACCCGATCAATATGTTGACGAAGATGACGAAATTGCGGAAAACAATCAAGAAACTGGCGACATAAATCACAGCGAACTAACAGGTTGAAATTTAATGTTTAAAATGTCATTGAAAAATACCGAATGTTTAATGGTTGACTATTATTATTGATCGTTCATTTTAGCAGCTGGAGAGAAAACCAAAGAAGGTGGATCTAAATCGAAAGACACTTCCGATAGACGTTTGGTACATTTGCCATCGGCACGTATAAAACACATAATGAAAGTCGACCCCGATGTTTCGTTAATTACCGGCGAATGTACATTTTTGGTAACTAAAGCGACCGAACTTTTTATCGAATCATTGGCCAAAGAAGCATTCACACATACCAGTCAAGCGAAGAAAAAAACGGTGCAAAAACGTGATGTTGATGCTGCCATCGAAAATGTTGAATCTTTAATGTTTCTGGAGGGAATGATGAATTTCTAACTATATTATTACAATAAATTTTAAGGTGGAAACATATACCACATTCATTTAAAAAATATAACAAACATAAAGAGGCGATCCATTTAAATAAAAGTTTACCACATTTCATTTGTATGAAAGAAAAATTACTTTGTCATGTAATTGAAATTTGATGTGTGTAGTACTGGGTACAATGTGTAGACGGTGTCATCGTGGGATATATTCAATTTTTATCGAATTAACTAGATTATTGTATACTTGAATTTACCTGTCGCTATTCTGCCCTATTTGGAAACGGTATATTGCTTCATTTAGTTCAAGAATAATAAAATATTAGAGTCATCAAAAGATGAAATAAACAAAAAGAATATCTTTTCGAACGGTTTGTATGTGTTCTTGAATTGAAGTGACCTTGAGCTGTTTAAGCTACACATGTCGTTTTAAGTGTGACTTGAATAGAAAGAAACGTTTGTGCTTTTGTTTCACTTTTCTTTTCATTTTTAGTGCGTGGAACGTGATCTCTCAAAAGAATTGCTTTCAATTCGTGTGAATTCATCATTCACCTTAACCATGATCCATGTAAACAAAGTTTAAGCAAGATTTTTGAACTTCGGCCTTTGTCAATGTGGTTTAGATAATTAACACTTTGGCGTTAATTAATTTGTCGGACAAATATCAATTCTTCGAAGCATCGAATGAATAATTTTTAAATACTACTCAGATTATCAGCTGTTATTTGTTTGAGTCTATGTTGTCAATCAGCAATTGTAAATATTGAACAATTGCAATTTATTATTGCATCCCCCCCCCCAAAAAAAAAAAAAACGATATTTTCATTTCTCCAAAATATTTTTTTTTTTTTTTTGTTTTTGATTCATGTCAATAGTCACCATAAAAATAACTGACGAAAGATTGCGTAAAAAATTGTTTATCCGAATACAAAATAAAAGGAACAACAAAAATATGTGAAGAGGATCAATTTGGTAATGAATATTTTGTATAAATAACATCGATCGACACCTCTTTTATAAAGCTATAATTACTGAATTCACAAACAAAATTTAAAAATACGAGTATAAATTCAACAAGATAAAGAGAGAGAAAAATGAGAATGGATACTAATTTGTAAGTGGCACTGGAGATGAATACATATAATTTTCGGTGCACTTGCTTTTTGGTTAATGAGAACACAAAACGACAATTAACTAAATTCATATCTTCAGGTTCATGGCACCACAAAAGATAGAGGGCAATTTAATTTTTTTTTTAACTAACCTTAAATCAATAACTTACTTTTACTTTTTTCGGTGATCTCTTTGCTAGTTTCGGTGTAATGCTTGACAATAAAAATGTGCAATAAAATGTATGGCTTCAATGGTCAATGGTTTTCCAGTACAATCATATGCTTGAAATGCCCTATGAGAAAAGAAACCAATTTCAATGTATTTTGAGAAACATTGAATGGGACGTGATACTGCTAAGCAAATTCAAATTTTTATTACAATTCATAAAACGTGTGTATTTTGCAATTGCATAAAATCCCAATGGCAATGACCATGATCCTATACATTCTATCAAATGCGACATACTCTCAGATCACAATGACAATGGGTGTTTCTCTTTATAATGATGATTGTGACGTCACAATGTATGTTCTATACTTTTGTATTTTTTTGGTTCAAAAATGCAACAAAACATCTTTCGAATTTTCTGATAAGTTCAATTGACATATTCATCATTGCGCGAGAGCGTGCGAATTGACTACCAAAAAACTATACTGAAATGAAACGGATAATAAACGGGTTGTGAGCAACCGGCGAATGTGTAATGTTTATGATTTTCGGCATTATTTCTTGTTATCCCTAGAAATATGTCTTTCACATGAAATAAAATCAACCGGCAAATATATTAAATGCAATCAATTTGTATTCGTAGATTGATCGAGGCAAACATGATTTTTGTTGTTAACCCACGTTTGCAGGCTGGTGTCAATTTGATATTATTTAAAAACTTCGATACAAAAACGTACAACTAAACCAGAATTCATAATATTTCAATAAAGGAAGCTCCAATAGATTTGTCTATAAATTATTTAATGTTTAATGACGAATAGAAAACAACGAATTTAGGCATCTCAACTATCGAGTCTAAACTATTTCACATTGGATGAATAAAAGTCACAAATTAGAAGTAAACCAAAATTTATCTAATAGTGCAAGTTTAATCAAAATTTGTAGTACGTGAACTCTAGTTATAACATACACTCAAAGTTGAGTCATATTTCCATACAAATTCTTAGGAAAAACGTAATTTCCAAGGAAAGTCATTTTTTTTGGACAAATTTTCAATTTTTTGTACATCCCGCTGAGGAATCCGAAAAAATAGGTTTCAAGTTACTAATTGATACCTTGCTTGAGTTATGCGTATCACAAAAACAAATCGAAAACGATTTTGAAGCATGATCACATAAAAAGACTAATGTTGTTCATATTGGGTCGAACGCAATTTGTTGTTGATTTTTTTCTTGGCAGCTAATGCGGGTTAATCTGCAGTAGAAATACTGAATGGTTCAACAGATGGTAATTTATGGTGAAGGAAGCCAAATGCAAACATGTCTCGAGGAAAAAAAGAGTGCACGCAATGATTACATTGTTATGGCATACGTTTGAGAAGTGCACAAATATTGTCCAAACTTTGGTCAATGGATCTTTTATCGTTGTTTTTTTTTTTCGCATTAAAGATTTTATTTTAAAGACTTCCGTGTCTGCAGAAAAGACGCGTTCCGAACCATTTCATACTGTTCAATGGTTAATTTTCGATCTCAAGTTATCTTGATCATTTTGGCTTTGTTATGGTAAATCCTGCTCTGATGCACCAAACCACTCCTCACATGCTCGACCATTTCTTTTAATTTTTGTTGTTTGTGGTCCGGTCTACAAGGACTTTGTTTGCGTATATAAAAAACGTTGACCACATTTTTGGTGTAAGATCACAATTACCGGCTGAAAGTAATTTGTTCCTTTTTTTCATATAGCGACGACAATGTGTTACCAAACCGCTTCGATGACAATATGATGCCAATTGTGTAAGACTCATCACTTTGTTGCCTATATAGATAATATGCGCAGGCGGAATTGTCTGGTAGGAAATAAACAATTTGATGTAAAAACTAATATATGTACGCCGTATATACAGGGCTCTTAAAATACATTAATCGGTGCGAATATAATTGAACAATTATATTCTTTTACGATCGCTAAATCACATAGTTAAACTCAAATATAAGGACACATCGAGAGCTCAAGAAGGTTTTTAGTTTTATATCATTTTCAAGATAAAATTGCTTTTGTTGGGAAACCCAATGAATTATTTACTTGCAAAAAAAGAAGAAACCATGTCTGCGATTATTGTGGATAAAAAGAGCTGCGTGATGGCTGTCTGCTGAAGTCGATTAGATGGTTCGCAAAAGACTATTTTCAACGAGTTTCACCACGATTATACCACATTTTACATCCGTATATCTTTCGCTTTCAATTGGTTTTTATCCTAGGGAGTATTCAAGAGTGACTTCAAAAAGTCACTTTTTGGAACAGAACTCAAAGAATGATTCTCGAAGATAACAAAATCAAACTGCTTCAAAATAAACGATTTATTTCCCCTCCGACCGAATTCAATTAAAAAACACATAACTATTTATTTAACCTTCCGCGATGCGTCAATCAACATCTTTTTTCTTCAATTTTCAGTTCTCCAATTGGTATCAATAAAAATGTAATAATGTTCCAAAAAACCAACAATAACATTTAAAAAAACACAAAAATAAATTGAAAACAAGTAAAAAGCCTAATAAAAAAAACAATCAACGAACGTTAACATATAGCGAAAGAATATGATTCTATTTGGTAAATTGATAATTTTACTTTTAATTTTAAAACATTTTATTTATTATTGTTCCATCGAACGCAATAATTTTTCAAGGATCAATGTTGATTTATGTGATAATCAAATGTTTGATTCGATATATAATCCATCTGTGTATGTTGTTTACTTCACGTGCCCAAATTGAATAGCTTGGATTTTGTCAAAACGGTTTTTCGCTTTCATAAAACCAAAAATTACGCATTTACATACGAACTCACACGCACACGCACATTGTGTTGTTAATGGTCAAGTAAAAAAAATTGAATTGGTTAATTGTTTGAACAAACATACAATATTCTGTTAAATGTTTCAAAAGCATAAATTCGTCCTCGCAACACAACACACATTTATATACGTTCATCAAGTGATTGTTCGTTGACATATTTATTTTGTGCGATTTAATTTATCGAAATGACAGATTTAGCATTGGGAATTAGTATAAAATTCGAATATGAAAACAATACATCAGATCGAATATGATTACGTCAACCAATCTCTTCTGGATATATCAGAGTTGAGAGTGTAAAAACATGAATTTCCTCTCTTCTTGTTCTGACTTGCAGTGTCCAAATGTCAGCAGCTGTTTAGCATGCATTTACTTAAGTTCTTAATTGATAAAATTACATTAATTCCGAAAAAATATATATATTGTTGTAAGCAGTTTGAATGCGTGTTTCTTTGTTGTATGGTTTTGCTGAAGAAGAAAAAATCGTTTTCGGTGTATGTTCTTCATTTCAAAAAAGCACTTATCCCTTCTTGATTCACACTTTGAAAATCAAAGCGCTTAAACGCTGAACAGTCAATTAATGTTACCTACTGCGAATGTGAGTGTCACACCGAACGCACTGAGCGATTAGTAAATCGCGCTAAACAAGTGCTATTTGGTGAATTATCATTTTTAACAACTCTTTAACTGAATGTGGACTCATTTGAAATGTATTGATTAATTCAATACCAACATATCGATTGGTCGTTACGTGAACACAGTTGAAAAAGCTTTTTCAGGATATACAATACGAAAGAGACAAAAGAGAATCGATGACGGAGGCGGCGGTGGTGGTTGTGACGATAAATCAACTCACACCATCGAAACAAAGCGAAATAAAAAACAACAAACTCTTTAAGAGTTTTGGAGATTTTCTTTGTTTTTATTGATGGCTGTATGAGCAAACGCGTCTACCTGTCCACTGTCCAGTTTGAATTATCCGTCCGCGCACACAGAGCTAATGAGCATCTCAATATAATCACTGGCATTGCTAGTCTTTCGCTTAGTATCTGTTATGTTACGCATCCATACGGGTGCTCGATCCATACACTTCGATTCCATGTGAAATTTTCAACCGAATCACCAATCAATTTGAGAGTTTAGGGAATGATGATTTGTTTCTAAACCGGTTCAGGCAAAAAAGGACCATTTAGAGACATTATTTTATACGAAACATTATGTAAACATTATTTGCAAAAAAAAAAAAATTGCAATCGCTTCAAAGCAAGGATTAAATTTTGTGCGTTTTGCGGTGTGTGAAATATTGATTACCAGAATTGTGTAAGAAGAGAAAAAATAAATTGTGACAATCAAATCAATAGACAACAATAAAAGTGTTGATAAATTTATTATAAATTTCGAGTGAATTGAGAAACAGAGACATTTACAATGGTCGTTTATCAAGTGGTAATTATTGAGCCATATTTCTTTCATTTTTCGAGTTAAGAAAGATATTCAATATGTGATCAACTAACGCAAACAGATCGATTTTCTTGAGTTGTTGATAAACCGATTGTTTGCATCTATTTTATGGTTCGAATATTTTCGCGTAACAAGCTTTTCAATATTGAAACTGTATCACTTTTAACCACGTGATTTTAAATTCAAACGTCCAAACAAATAGTGCAAATACTCGATTTTCTCATTCAAATGTTGTTTCTTGTAAAATTCTCTCTTTCGTCATATCGTCACTGAAATGCGAGATATGATGAATATATAATAATGAATTGTGCACAGAAATATCTATGTATTATTGTTTGTCATTTATTTTATTTATTTATTTTTTTGTTTGACCATACAAACAATTCATTTAAGCGTGATACACAATGTTTTTATGTCACAAATAACGGCTGGCTACTCTATGATTATTTGGTCAGCTGAAAAAAGAGACAATTGACTAAGCTAAGCATTTATCACATCTTATAAATCATGACAAGTGACTTGTTTTTCGTTCATTTCAACGTCAAAGTGAAAACTATTTCAATACGATGGTGTCGTAATGGCAATAGCCCACAAAATTCTTCAATTATCATCTGCATTTTAAATGGAATTTAATTCTTCCATTAATTTATTAGCATGTTTATACGCCTGAATTGGGATTGGTGTTGTTTCAAAAGAAAAGGTTGTTTATCCTTAAGAGGAGGAACATAAATCGGGAATCACTTATTTACCTATTTACCATGCTAAATAAATTAGCGCAAAGGTTCTTAGTGTAAGAAGAATGCAGAAAATTGCGTCTTTGGTAAACACTCAAATAGTGGAAAATTGCTAACAAATACGTCAGAGACTATTCGACAAAATCGAAAATAATGATTGATATTGCGTTTTCATTTATGCGCTCAATTTTAAAAATAAAACCCAAAAGAATTGAAAAAGCAAATGAAATTAATTAAATGTTGCGAGAAACAAACCAAAATAAGCCTATTTCTTTCGTAGTTATCCTCGCAAAATGTATGGCTGCATCTCGGATGCTACGCATACAGCGAACAGAAGCACGAGTAAGTTGTAAAAAACCCAAATAGTGTGAGAATAAAAATCAAACAAGTAGACTTATTTCAATTTATTTCTCGGAACGCTTATGATTCGCAATATTTTGATTCAATTTTCTTGTATAATTTTAATAGAGCTTTTACCCAAAGATCTTAACAGTTCCAAATGTACATATTTTATTTTAAAATTAGCCATTGGGACGGATGCTTTATGTGGACGATATAGTTCCACATCAATATGAAATACCGATTTTCTCTACGATATAATTAAAGCAAATAATATACTTAAAAGCACTGGCGACTATCCTAAAGCTCGCAATGAACACGTGCAAAATAAACAAAACTGCAATTCAAAAGCAATTCATTCGTAAATATTAATTATTATGACAACTGTGCAACGTCTCCGCCATAAAAAAAAATTGCTATTTCATTTTGAATTTTTTTTTTTGTTTTCGGTGGTGTTGCTTGATTCAAAGAAAAGTGGATGTGCGTGTGAATTGTTTGCCGGCCCCGGGACCAAATCTGTGCACGACCAATTTTATCCACTTCAGTTTTTTTAAGTGTTTGACAAACGCAAGTGAACACGAATTTCGTAATACGCTGTTGAACTATTTATTTTGTCAATTGAACATATTTTTCATCTTAAACGTAATGATTTTAAGTCGATTTCATAAGGAAACAAAACATTTTTAATTTAATCACGAACGTTAAAAGTGAACACAATAAAATAGCATAGATTTATTGATGAATGTCTTCAACTGAATTTGATACTGGATTAAAATTCAAATTTGATGGATTCTCTCAGTCATGAAAAGTCAAGCTACTAGTTTTTTTCGTTTATGTCATTTCCTTTAATGACTGAGAGAATTCATTGAATTTGAATTTTAATCCAATATCAGTCGGTAGAAAAAACATTGATGAATTTGATAATTTTAAATTATAATAAGTTCTTTAAATTCAAAATTTGACTGGCAACCTAAGTTGAGTGGAATTTACTATGATCTCGCGATTTTGGAGAAAAAAAAACCTGAAATGAAATTCGTACGAAAAGAGGATTTGCCAATGACATTAAATCACTTGCATTTAAATCAATGATGCAAACTAGGTTGATGCTTGTATATTTTTTTCCCTTCGTTCCAAGTATTTGATTTTTCATTTATCTATCTGATGAGGTGAAGGTCAATGCTATTATTTGTACTGGAACTAGCTATGATTGTTGTATGTTAAAAATGCCACGTAACCACATTGTGTACATATGCATGGATAATACCGAACAATTACGAGCAAACAAACTCATCTTTTGTTCGGCCATTGAAAATTTAAGGCACTAAGTAGGCAAATAAGTGACTGAATTTCGTATCGATATTGTTTGCTTAAATGATTTTGTTTTCTTTCTTTTTTTTATTTTTAATTTGTCTTTCTTTATTTTTGCGGTACGGTTAAATTATACGTTTTTTAGCCGTTTCGTGTGGCCAAGTTAAAGTACACTAAACGACACATATTTCTTTTATTACGAGATAAACTTTAACGAATCAATATAATTAAAAATTTGCTTTTACGCTTTTGCAGCTAGAACGAGCTTATCAACCGGAACTCATGGTGCTTATCGTTGTGATAACAATCAGTACAATACTGTATGCCATATCTGGTTATTTGAAAGCAGTTGTATTGTGTTTCAAACTAAAAGGACCTCCCGCAACACCGTTCATCGGCAATATATTGGCTATCAATGACAAAGATAGTGAGTGCTACTTTCTTTTTCTTATTAAATTTTAAAATTACAATTCGCGATAATACTGTTAGAATAACCTAAATATAAAATCCATTTTAATTTGCAATCGTTCGTAATTTGTTTTGGGTTTGGTTTTTTTATTTTATATTTCGGCAAATATTTGACGAAAAGTGCAAGAGTCGGAAAGAAATCGAAAAATATAAATGAATAGACACACACAGCTGTTCATCTATTGGAAATGTTGAATGGTGAGAAAATGAGAGAGAGAGAGAGAGAGAGAGAGAGAGAAGTGTTTACTTATCACCATATTCCGTTTGGTAAATAATTGGTGTCTGTGTGTGAATGCAGAGGTCTGGTTCAAGAAATTGTGCGTGATGTTGAAAACGAGAGGCTTGTTCAGGCAACATATGAAAAAAAAAAAACATTTTTTTCGCATTATAAATTGAGAATGATGTGTTGAAGTCTTATAAAATAATGTTAAATGTAATCAACATATTTAGATTCATCACCAATCGATGCGACTGAGACATATAGAGAGCGAGAGAGAAAGAAAGAGATTATGTGTGTGTACAGTCGAAAAATCCATTATAGTTCCAATTCGAAATGTCAACAAAGATATAATAACAGCAGCAGCCGCCTTCTCAAAGTAAAAAGAAAACACGAGCAGCAATGGCCGTTTGTTTGATGTCGACCACATAAGTCACGTACATGATATTTTCATTGAAAATCATTATTCAATGATGTTTGTGCAGATGAAATGGAAGAATGTTCGACAATGACAAACAGTGTGTAATAATGATGATGAAAAATCGCGTAATATACTCATATTGACAACATTGTCATATTGGCGATGGTGTTGTATACTTTTGAATAATTCAATATGTGTTTATTTTGCTGGAATTTCGAATTATCAAACAAAATCGCAAAATTCGATATCCATTTGGATTTTGTGAAATATGAAGGAGCCACACTCGTGCACAGTAACACACAAAAATATTGAATGAATCAAATATGAACAACGGTAGCACCGACAACATCAAATTCAGTCATTATTTCAAACGATCTCATTCTTTCTCTCTTACACACACACACACACCACACATTCAAAGATCACTTGTAAATCGAACTACTCGTATATAACTACTCTCAGTCAATTGTGATTTGCAAAGTGTTTTACGAAATAGCACATCATCACTCGGACAATGTTTGCTCAATTGTTATACATACATTTTTCATTTACATCAGAATTGTATGTGGTGACACATCATAAAATAATGCTAGTGTCCATACCAAATGTTAAATCAATGATATCGCATCAATAAAAGTACATTATAAATATTCAATACGTAATCTATTTGATTTTGATCATTCGATGAATTTACTTTTCCGGTATGCGCAATATTTATTACTATAAGGGTATATTGATTTGTGTCGAGTGAAAACCAACAAATACATCTCTTTGATTTTTACCTGCACAGGAAGTGCAAATGTTAACTTTCAAGAATTTACCGATTCAAAAATATCCCGGCGTTTTGCCATGAATTCAAATTGTTCAATCAAAATACAAAAGTTTTGTTTAGAATCAATTAATTGAACAATATTTGCACAAAAATTGACGTTGTATGTTCTTTCAATCATATTTGCACGTCTCAGAAAAAAAAGTTAGTTTTTTTTAAATGAATATATTTTTGTTTAATGGAAAAGATTTCAAATCTCATTTTTTTCAAAAACACAACAAAATGAACTAAAGTAAAAATAAGAGCGTAAAAATAATAGTTTTTTCTACCCATACAATTCTGCTCTGAGGCGTTCATTTGCAATTTGCATCATGTAAACATTAAAATTATCGACCAAAGTGCAATATTATCACCTATTTATGTTTGAAATCGATGGGAGGAGGCAACTGATTATACTTTCCACATCAAAAAGATTTCTTTTCAAAGTTCACGACGACTGTGAGAATACCTCGTAAAGTAAAATGATTTCGCTAGTTGTCCAAATGCTCCAAATAAAAAAATCGCTCTAATTTTTAATTAGGTGTTTGTCCAATGTCAAAATATTTGGTGACAAATTGTCACTGACAAAAATCTATAACTGCCGATCGCAATTTGATGCGCTTTTTAAATCCAATCATGTGAAATCATGTTTACCATTTACTTCGATTCCGCATATTATTTGCTCGCACTGGTCGTATACTTACATCGGTCAGTATCCATTCATAGAAATAACATGTTAATTAAGTTATTCTATAACTTGTACAGTGGAACACTGGACACACCGCCAATTTGTTAAACGCATGACTTCATTTAATAATTAATTAAACGATGACACTCAAAAAAATGTTTTTTTTTTTTTTTTTTAATTGTAAGAGGCGTATGAGTATTTTGCGATTTAAGGAAGTTGTAAATGATTCAAAATTGAATCATTCAATTTAATAGAAAAGCTTTGAGTGATGTTGAGAAAAAAAAGTTTGACAAAAAATTGAACGCAAAAGAGTTCTTTTGAATTCTTGTTTATGATCAAAATACATCGAGTATGTGTAAAGATCTAAAGCGGTTAAATACAAAAGAAGCCGAAACATTCATCTTGAAAATCAAAAGTATCGTTTTGAATTCGTGTTGAGCGATAATTGCGATGCTCAAATATTTTGCACAAAAATGTTGATGAATGGTCACAAAAATAAGTGTCAGTTAATCATCCAATTTGTGTGTGTATGCGCGTGTGGCGGCGCGCGCATGATTCTTGTTCTTTATGAATTATACTATGTAAATTAAGACATGTGTACACGGTACGTGTGTCACAGTGATCGCGCGATACGATCGTGAATGAATGGGAGCCGAACAAAGTTGTAACCTTGACCACAAAAACCGCGTATCAACCAATGTCTTTCAGTGGCTAAGCATTTATATTATGCGTTTTTTTTGCGTGCATCATTGAAAATCAACTGATTCGCTCGATATGCTCGAAAGTGACAATTATCAGTTGAACATGTTTTTTTTTCTTTTGGCATTGTTTTGTTTTATTTCGTCTTATAAAAAAGATAAAATGCGCGAATACTCATAAATCGATCAAGTACGTAAAATAAACAGTCAACGATCACCGCCATAAAGGTAGCTTACGGTTTTTTGTGCATTCACGATATTTTGTTTATTTTTAGTCAAAATTTAATTTAATCTATTTATATTGTTCTCGTTGGCACGGTCAATGCTCATTAAAGTAACCGAATCTGTATTTTTACTCATAAAAATGTGTCCTTTACAACCATAGAACAAATAATTGTTTATGTGTTTTTTCTTTCTTTACCTTCGCTTGTATTTTTATAGTGCTGGAAAAGTATGTTAAGCCGGCTGAGGCAATATATGGCCGATTAATTCGTATATGGGTGTTGATATTTCCATTCTTTGCCATCACGGATCCCGAAGACTTACAAACGGTACTCTCGAGTAGAAAGCACACCGAAAAAATATTCTTCTATAAATTGCTGCACAATTTCCTTGGAAATGGTTTAATAACCAGTTCAGGTGAGAAATTGTTTTTTTTTTGTTTTTTTTTTTTTTTAATATTTTAGGGCATAATGATGAAACATAAATTTAAATGTATGTTATTGACCTGAATTATGCACACCAATTCGAACTTGCTGGAAAAATGACAAAATAAAGAGAACGGAATTTTTCCAAAACGATTGATGACATTTTGTTAATTGTTTTTGCTTATTTTTTGTTTTGTTTTTATTTTCTTTTTTTGATAGCCGAAAAATGGAATCTACATCGACGTCTCATTCAACCAACCTTTCATGTGACGACATTGGACCAATTCTTAGGCACTTTTATTGACGCCTCGACTGTTCTGGTGGAACGTTTGAAAAATGGGGAAAATCAACTCAATATTACGCCTTTGATCAATCAATGTGTTATTGATATTCTGAATGGTAAGATTGAGATTTATCTGTTAAAAATCATTTCAGCATACTATCTATTTTGCATACAAAGAGATACCCAGGAGATGCTTTGAATATAAAATTTGCACATTTATAGTATACGAATAAGAAATTTTGTCAATTTTGAAGGCATATTAGAGTTCAGAGACTGCTGATCAAAAGAGATCCGAATTAAAAATATGACCTTTGTTGAAATTCCATATCTTTTACGCAATGGAAGTTTCATTAGTGCATCAAAACCCCCTTTTAAATACTCAATTATTTGATTAAAAAGATGTATCGCAATAACTATATTCAAAATTAAAAAATGTATTTGGACAGAATCGGTTCTTGGCGTTCCAGTTTTGAAGAAAAGCGGTTTCAACATGGAAAATTCACCGTTTAGACAGTAAATACCATTTCTCATTCCATTTTATTTGTAAATATTTTTGTAACTTTACCCATGATCAAAACTCAAGCCAAATTTGATTTTCTTTATTAGAGGTAAAGTGGTGATGCCGCTTCGAATCGTAAAGCCATGGCTGCTGCTGGACTGGATTTATAAAATGACTGAAACAGCATCGGCCGAATTGAATCAAAAACGGAAATTGGACGAATTCACAAAAAAGGTATATTGCGGTCCCAAAGTTCTTGTTTTTGGCCTTCAATTAAAAAAAAAATCTAATAATATCCTTTTAGATGATAAACATTCGTCGGGATGCATTGAATCGTGGTGAAATTCCGCAGCGAAAGTGCTTATTAGATTTCATGCTTGAAATATCAAAAAATAATCCACAATTCACCGACGATGACATTGTAAATGAAGCATGTACATTTATGCTTGCTGGTCAAGATAGTGTTGGAGCCGCAACGGCATTTTGTTTATTTTTATTGGCCACACATCCTGAATGCCAGCAAAAATGTATGGACGAATTGAATGAGATTTTCAACGATGACAATCGTGTGCCAACGATGAAAGATATTCGTGAAATGCGTTATTTGGAACAATGTATCAAAGAAACGTTACGTTTGTATCCAAGTGTACCGTTGATTGCACGTAAGGTAACAGAAGATTTTCGTTGCGGTAAATACACCATTCCAAGTGGCAGTAACATTTTGATATTTCCGTATGCTACACATCGATTATCGTCAATTTATCCGAATCCAGAGCATTTCGATCCGGAACGATTTTCACCGAAACAATGTGAAAACCGACACCCATATGCCTTCATACCATTTTCAGCTGGACCAAGAAATTGTATCGGATATAAATTTGCTTTTATCGAAATTAAGACAGTCATTTCGACAATTTTAAGAGAGTTTGAATTGTTGCCGGTTGAAGGAAAAACTAAAATCAATCCTATATTTAGAATAACAATTCGGGCATCTGGCGGTCTTCATGTACAATTAAAATCACGCAAATTCCCTTCAAATACCTGAACAATATTTGCAATAACAGCAACATTTATTTAGATACGTTTAACATAAGCACACACACATAGTAGCAATAAGATTTTTTTTGTTCTTTTCTTTTTGAACGTAAGTATATGGGCCATTGGAGCCGGACGAAATGAATGAAATGAGAGTGCATTTCAGTGAGATTAATTTTAAGCAAAGTATTTAAAATTGTTTTATATTGTGTACAGAAGAGACATTGCTACATGACTTGTGGTTTTAATCGGTTATTGTATTTCATTCATCATTTTAAATAATAACAGTCTTATCACACATACAACCAAGCGTATTTGTTAAGCCAAATTGAAAATTCTGTCACCGAAAGATTTTATATTAAAAAAAGAATAAAATAATTTTATTGAAACATTTGTCATTTATTATGTCAGTTCTATGATCGAGACTTCTTTTTAGTTAAATCATGCAAAAAAAGAAGATGGGTTCTGTTTTGAATCATAAAACTGCATTTATTTTATATTTTCCATTTATTTAAATCAATGAAGTTTTTTTAACAAAATACCTGATGCATTGACCTTTCGTTTTTTAAGTTCATTTTTTTATGAAATTACGTCGATGACGATTGACCTTGCATCGAGCGGCCCGTACTTATTACTCCATTTCCAACTTGTTCCACACCCTGACCAACTGTTTTACCAACTGATTGTGGTACATCAAAAAGATTACGAATTAAACTCATGCCTGCACCACCCATGTTTGACATCATGCTCATAATACCTTGGCCACTTTCACCTACAGCATTCATAAAATGCGTTGTAACTTCATCCGATTGCACAGGCAAAAGAATCTAAAAACTTAACCACAATAAAGAAGAAAACTAAACGGAATTTTCAAGGTTTACTTACCGACAAAATGATGGCAATACACAAAACAATTACGGAAACACTCTTCATCTTGATTGTTGGTTGCTAACAAAATCACATGGAGAGTAGAAATGACCAGTAAAGGCTTCAACCTCATTTTATAGTTGAACTGATGACAAAATACATATTATAAAATATCGCAAAAAAATGTTAATTACATTTTTTCATTTGTAGTCAACATCCCATATACTACTATTCGAACAAAACTATGAATGTAAATATTCAAAAATTAAATTGTTTAATTAGAGTTCTAATATCAAAACAAACATTGATATCATTTCGGAATAGACGTTACACGGTAAATTCCAATTAGTTTCACGTTTTATTTATCGTCTTATTTTCATGCTGTTCACGGTCGTTAAATGGGTTGAAAACAAATCAATGACAATAAGGTTCCAAAACATCCAAACAACTACTCGAATAGTGCGTTGTTACAAATTACCTTTGACGTACGATCAACGTACGTTCATTTTAAATATTTATTATACTCATTCGATACATTGTAAAGTATATAGTGTTTATAAAGTAATAAAAAGATGTCTTCCTGAATAATGAAATTTTATCAATGAGGCAGAAAATATACTTCGCGATTCTTTACGTGTGATGAATTTTTTTTTTTGTATTCTTCTACCCTTGACAAATTTAAAAAAAACGAAAAGTCTATTATGTCTAGGGTAAACTTCGTGCGTGACAAAATTTTCACTCTAACAAAATCTAAAAAAGCAGTGAATAGATTGGGCTACAGCTATAGCAGTGCAATTTTCACAGCTTCTATTCATACGTGCTATTTGTGAACAACGCATACGGCCAGCGATTTTATGATACAATTCCGGACAATAGACCTATTGATTTGTTTATGCAAAAAAAAAAAAATGCAAAATACTAAAATAAATTGTTCTATTTAAATTTTGAACATTTCGTTCGGCATTGTATCATAAAGTCGCTGTCCATATGCGTTGTTCACAAATAGCACCTAGTATTGTTTTAACAAAAGTAATTGATCATTATAACAATAACTTCTATTGTTTAAGCCCATTTAGCTGGCTAACGTAGTGTCAGCTCAGTTGACCAGTTAGTACAATATATTGTCTGGTTTTTTTTTTAAATAATACTCCATAAAATGGCATTTATTTTTTATTAAAATCAATGAAAATCTATAACTAGTTCACTGATGCTCAATTAGTCAAAGGATTTAACCTTTTTTTTATTTAATTGCCTTCAATTGAATGGCCTGCGTTTGTTATTCCATTTCCAACAAATTTGACACTGCGACCTAGACCATTTCGGGCTTTTCGTGGTGCACTCGTAACACCATTAATAACATTATGTCCAAACTTCTTGGCTCCATTGCCGATGTTGTTGCCCATGTTGTCAAATCCTTGGGCGATTTCACGTCCAGCACCTTGAAAATGCGATGTAACTTCTGTACAATCGGATACAGTCAAACAAATCTGAAAGAGAAGCCACAATCAAAAAAATTTCTTAATTTAATTATTTTGAACCTTTTTCTTCATTTACCGACAAAAGAATGGCGATACTTAGGAAAATAATGGAAACACTTTTCATCTTGATTTATTGTTGATAACGAAATTACTTCGAGTTTGAAAATAACCAAAAAAACAAATTAAAACTCCTTTTATAGTTGAATCGATGACAAAGTGCGGATGAAATATTTTTTAAAATTAAATTCTTTCATTTCCAATCAACATTCCCTATATTTTACAACTCGTAACAAATTCTGAACGTAAACAATTGGATTGCCAATTTTGTAATTAAAGTTCTAATATCAAAACAAAGATTGATATCATTTTGGGATAGACATGTAATTACGGAAAAATTGACAACGAGGTCCGAAAAATTCAAACTTGTAAATGAATACTACGTTTCAAACAATTGTCTTTGGATTTAATGATATAAATTCTCCAAACGCGTATTGAATTTAATGAGTTACTTACACAGTATTGTTACCACCTTTGAATGATAAAATAAAGTTCAAAATAAATTCAATTTATTTGAATTTAATTAGCAACATTATTTGTATGAGTAAATAAAATGATGCCTTAGTTTACTTCAAAAATGGTACGAAAAAAAAAACAATCAAAATTATTATTTTACAGTGCCAAAAACGCGTCAAACATTATATATATGTTTTTTGTCAAATTTCTGTTTTCGTGTACATTTTTGTTTATAGTGAGACAACACTCGTCAACTGAACGGCTGATAAAAGATTGAAACTCTCATGATAAGTAAGTTAAAATCTCATTCTCTTGCAATTTAAAGACCTAATCTTAATGAATACCACATGTTTTGATTGTAAATTTCGTGCATTTTTATTCATAAATTTTGAAAGAAAACCATAGTTTCAAAACATTTTTCCTGATTTTAAAACTACCAATTTTTTGTGCAAGTATTTATGTGGATTTGGAAAGGAATCAGTTGTTAATGTTGTTGTTGTTGTTGTTGTTGTTGTTGTCGTTGTTGGTTTGACCCGAAGTTCTATCGACAATTCCTTGTCCAAAGTTTCCAACAGATCTTCCAATATAGTTAATGCCCTTTCCGGTATTCTGAATGATATTGCCACCGAATTTCAGTAAACTGCCTGCACCTCGCGCAGTATTGGTTGCACGTCTTTTAACACCATTTGCAGTATTTGATGGACATTTTCTTACTCCTTGTACTCCTCTCGACACAGTATTTTGTGTAAGTTGGGCACCACCCTTGACCAAATCGATTACAGCGGCATTGGCTGCTTTTCCAGCATTGCCAAGATGTTGAAAAGTTTGGCCAGCATTATTTTTGAAGTTTGATCGGTGGTCCGGCTGGGACTTTCCAAAAGTATCCGTTAAGTTCTCAGATTCTACTACCAAAAACACCTGTTCAATTTTTAAAAATAGGTAAATTTTAAACTTGCGTTTTGGTTGAAGATTAAAATTTAAATGTTACCGTTTGAAGAATGACAATGGTAAGAAAAGCGCCAGCAAAAAATTTCATCATATTTGCGACGAATTTTGATGAACGAATCAATCTAAACAAATTTCAGAATGACTGACTGAGTTATCGTTTTTGAAAATAATCAACCGTTTATATTGGTATCGCATGAGATGAAAACTTCAAATTTAATAAAAAAATACCTACGAGTTTTTGGCTAATAATTTATGTTAAACATTACATCGAATTCTAATATTCTCTCATTTTTTCGTTCTTAATTATCAGTTTAATTTAGTCGTTATTAAATGCCATTGCCCATATCAAATGAGCTCGTGCGATCATTTAATGGTTAAAGCAAGCGTAATTAAGTTTAGTAATTTTCGTGAGTTTTGTATTTTATTCAAACATTTAGAATATTGTTACCATGTGATGTTTCAAGAAGAATGTTAAATTCAAAACTTGTCAAATTAATGAAGCTTTTATTTGTCAGTAAAAAAAGTGTTATTGTAGAAATTATGGGGAAATTTATTGTACAGAATTTCATTCAGTATTTGGTGTGTAAAAGTTTTAAAAACGGTTTTGATTTTAAAAATCGGCGTATTTACATTTTATCTGGGAAAAATGATATCTCGATCAGGCACTTCAATTAAATGTTCATCGGGAAGAATTCGGATTGTATGAGGTATAATTTGATAATTCTAATATAAAATTCATTTCAAGAAAATGTATGCGGAAGAATCTCGCGTCTTCCGATAGGAAATTATCAATATCACAATATTGTTTAATTCAGAGGCCTTCGGTAGCATCATTCTTCTAAAAATTTATCCAACTCCTTTTTTTCCAATTCATTATCCAATACAATTTCCTCTAGGCTTAGTGTTTGTTGGGCACTTTTATGTTCAATCTCGATTTCTGAAACAACAAACCGAAATGAACAAAAATACAATCAAAATGGTAGTTTGTGTTTTGACGAAAATTACTTGGAATTTTTCCAACTTCCTTGTAATACTTAAGATCACTTTGAAAGGCATCTTGGAAAACGGCCTGTCGTTCCTGTTGACGCAATCGCATTTGTCGTTCACTTTCCTTCACCGTTGCTGCATGCTTTGATGCCAAACTTTGTCGAACCTTCTCCAAATTGGCTAATACACAAATGAAAAAAGCATAAAAAATTATGAATGATAGCTATCCAAGTGCAATCTCTCCCTTTATTTTGCTCACCCAATTTTCGTTCTTTAAACATAGCCATTTCGAATTTGCTATCCAATTGTTTCTCCTGTAACTGTAACAGTTCAATAAGATCTTCTAATTCAAATAGTTGATTTTCCACTTCCGTGCATTTTCCATTGATTTCAATTATGATCGCTGAACAGTTTTCAATCGTTTGCACAATATTTGGAATGATCTCGAGCGACACATTGATATCGGATAAATCGATGCATCTTTTTTTAATGGAAACGTTTAGATTTGAAATAATTGCATCACATGTTTCAGCCTTTTTTGCATTTGATTCGTTGGCCACATGTAATTCTTCCCAGATTTTTTCGTTGCGTTCCAATAATTTACATCCGGCCGAAAAATTGATTGCATCGGAATTTGGCCATGATGGAAATTTTGTGGTGTCATTGGTTGATGTTGATGGTAATAGTAAACCAAGTTGATTCAAAACTTTATTGGACGACGACGTTGATGGGACCGTTGATGATGTACTCGGAATATGATTTGTGCTTGATAAATACATATTTTCGATGTCTGGCAAAACTGAATTCACTTTTTTACGCAGGTTTTGAAACATTTTTAATTGAATTTTAAACAGAATTTCAAAAACAAAAGACTAAACTAACAAAAACTCAAAGGGAATGAACAAAAATGTTGATGTATTAAACTCAAAAATTAACTTAACCAAAAATAATCATTTAAATTATGAATGTTTAAAGAAAATTAATATTAAAAACAAAAAAATTGAATGTAGCGTTTATCAATACAACTGATTTTTGACATTATGTTGTTTCATTGTCGTCGTCACACTGTGTATTTTTGTAAATAAACCGCAAATGACAGATAATCATTGAATCGGTAAAGTCCCAACGAGCAACGGATCTGACATATTTCGAATATTTATCGTTGAATTACCGAACTTACAAACATAAATCAATTTAATGATGTTAATTTGGAAACCAAAAATAGAAATATTTATTGTATTTGTCGAAAAATATCATCAAAGAATATTTAATAAATGAGTACTTTCCAGGTCACTTTTTATATAAGTTCTTGCTACAATTTTTTAAATTACACTATATCAAAATGATATCAAACCTTTTTTACGTTCATCTGTTTATTGAAAATTTATAAAAGAAAAAAATGTGTTTTCATTAAATATATTTAGATCTCCCTCTCTCTCTCTCTACCACTTTCTCTCTCTCTCTCTACCACTTTCTCTGACATTACTGGTATTCACTCTTTTCAGATTAATCTATTCATCAATAAATCAATTAATTTTATATGTAAATTTATTTAATTTTTTTTTTTCAAATGTTTGACTATCACACAAGGAATCAAATATCTCATGAAGGGGGAAGCCGATTTGAAAACACTATATCAAAATGATATAAATGGTGTTTTATGGTATCTTTTATTTACAAATCAGAGAAATAAAATTATATATTATAATAAAAGTATTTGAGATTTACTTGTTATAATACCGAACCGATGAAGATTTACACAACATTTCAAAAGTTTGAATATATTCCTAAAATTCGTTTTTCGATACAGAAAATGTTTTTCTACTTTCATATTAATTTTTGTAGATTTTATTCGTATGTTATATGCCAAAGTATTGGAACGATTAATTTGGGTAAATTGTGGTAATTTCAAAATATCGATGATGTATTCAAACGTTTGGTCTGTTGTATAGATACAAAAATAACTTTTCTATAAATCACATCAGAAAGAAGAAAGGAATGCCCATATAAATTGGTTATCCTCATAAATATTTACACACCAAATTTGCATCTTTGCCTTTTTTGTCTGTTTTCTCGTTAATAATGATTACATGCAGCTACATTCATATACAGCTAGTAGTATTCGTTGCAGATGATACAAGTTTAAAATTAAAATATTTCATTGGATTGACTTTATTTTATCAAGACTATGACGCCTTTAATGTTAGCGGAAAAGTAAAATGATCTGGAAAATACGAAAAACCTTTTTTGAATTCAATTGCATGTTCAAAAATGTTTAATGAAGGCACACATATAATTTATTCTTTTATGTGTCATTTGGGTGTTTGCTTATCCTATGGTCCAAAAAAGATGAATCAGATTAATAAGTAAGAATATGGATCTTAAATTTAAATGCCAAATGAATTGACACAAGCCGAGGTTAAATTTTAATAAAAACCCATGTACGTAAGGCTATTAGGTCAACAAGATAATATTCAGTCCATGTGAAAGGAAAAGAATCGAAGCTACATTATCTGTCTTCAAATGAATGTTGTTTGTTGTTTACTGTATTCTTTTTCTGAACAAATATTGATAATTTTGAAAAATAAACACTGTACTTTTCGTTTAAATTGTTGATCTCCCATACGAATTTGTCTACCAAATTGTAATATAATTCATATAGTCATTTATAATTCCAATAAATGAATTTGTGTAAAATGAAGCTACCGAATGAATGAAATTTAAAACGTCATTTTATTAATAACTGGACGAGAAAAAAAATGCTTAATAAGCGATAATAATATTCAGTTCACAGACAATTTTAATTTGACTTGATAAGCATTCTTCATTTTTCCTTACTTTTTATGACTTGACAAAATTGTTGTTGTCCTACATGAAGTAGAGAAAAGCTGTGAAGCTGAATAATAATTCCATTGATAAAATTCAAACAAATTGAAGAGTGAATATATCTGAATTTTTGAAAATTTATTAAAATTAATAAAATTCAACTAACATCACAATCGCGCATACAGAAATGAGTACATTTCGCCTAACTGCTGATAGATAATTGACACGTATAACCTACGGAAATCTCGACGTTCTCTTACGACTATTTCTTGTATATTTGCCCTTAATTTGTTTTTTTGGACGCAAATATCTTACTTTTATTCTATGCCCTAAATAATAAGAAATTCTTACATTTCGATTTTTACATCCACCAAATTTGAACTTCATTGTTCAAGTTAGCCACTATTTTTCAGGGTTACACTTTTGCTCTAACTCAAAATTTCACATTTAATAGCGAAATTTAGCGTCATAATAAAAATTCAATTTCCAATTTTTGGTAGCGACGATTTAGCGGCGACCAAGAAACATTCACAAAAAGAATTTTGGTCGCAGCTACTAAGGTGCCATTGCTCTCACAGCCAAAATTGCCGCGACCAAAATTCATGGAACCGACACGTATATTGTGTATAAGTGATTAGGGCTAAAGTCATATATAATTTAGTAAAATGTTAGTAGTAAAATGTTAGTACTAAAGTGTACCAAAAATTTTAGTACGTGCTAATTGTTGACCTTCAAATGTTCATATCTGAATTTTCGACTAAATGTTCGACTTCATGAATTATAACAATTGCATAGAAAACAAGAACAAAGAAATCTGCCCACAAGTGAGTTTCCACATAATACAGTGAAATTCAAGTTTGAGTATTCCACATGAATATCTAAGAAGAGTATCATTCAGGTCAAAATGATTGGAAACACATAAAATAGAGAACCAAATAAAACCATGGTGAATGTACGATAATTTCTAAATTCACAAAGAAGTGGGGATCTATGTAGATGCAGATGCTGTTGTTTTTTTTTAAAACCGAATACCGGACCAATACCATTCGCATGCAAGGGGAGTTCAGTCAAGTAGTGGAAAGAATGAGATGTAGTATCGCAAGAGCATATTTGAAATGAATGTACGCCATTCACTCAGATATCTATTGTGTTGAAATCGACACTATACTCATCCGGTACACACATTTCGTGCTTCAAGCAATACACTACATCTCTATCGATGCATGACCATGAAGAAATCCCTTATATAGAGGTTTATATTATTTTAAACCATACTTGAACACTATTTTTGTTTGTTATTTCCTCATTTTAATTATGCCACGTAGACATTTGAGTCATTGAACATTTTAAATGATAAACACACAAGAGATAAACCCCACAAATTATTTTAGGATTCCTATTAAAAAATGAATTTGTTAGGTTTCCTTATAAAATCGCAATATTTTAACAGGAATCCTAATAAATTGGCGCGCTTAAACGTCAAAGCCAACCTCACTGTGTTGAAACAAAACATGTTTTATTATTTAAAGGTTTTCTAATAAAATGTTGCCATATTATAAGGAAACCTTACAAATTAATATTTTAATAGGAATCCTAAAATGATTTGTCAGGTTTATTTTTTGTGTGAACATTTTTATTAAACAATTCCAATAATTTGAGACAGACAAATGGAATACTTTTTGTATGAAATTTTTTTCTCATAAGATATACTAACAAAAACATTTGCTTTTTCATTCGTAAAAGTTGTTATGAAATTACAAAGAAAAAATAATATGTATACAACATGTATAGAGAGGTATACACATGTTGTATACAAAGACTATTGCAAGCTGCTCAGTGGTCGTATATTCATCGGGGCAATGCTACAGTTCGCTACCTCACACATAAGTACATAAGTCAAAAGCTAAGTACCCATCGATATTTTTCTAATCTATTTGAACATATACATCGATAACTAGTTCAATTAATTAGAAGCATAGAATCTGATAGATTGTAGATAGATAAACTGAACTGAAGAGAATAAAAAACAATGAGAATCTCATTATTGTTCGTATACATGTGAGTCAGCAAGCTGTATAACTCTGCACAAATGCGGCGAATATATAGGCGCTGTGCATAAAGCACAATTTTTGGACGTTGCCTTCAGCATATTGTGCATAAAGGTACTGAAAACATGAACAATTTAATAAGTATGAGTGAGCTCATAGCTTTCAGATTTGAAATCAAATGATTTGTAAAATCAACAAATCATGCAAAAAATCATGATTTTAAATGCACAATTCAAATTTTCGCGTTACCCCTTTACAAAATTCATGATTTTGGATAGAATTTTTCTCATTTTGCTAGGGTTTTTGGATCATAGCTAAAAATTTCCTATTTTGCTAGGAGTTTTTGAGGCCAATGTATAGGAAAGGACAGTAGTTCCAAAAATAGCTGTCGCATTCAATGACGGCGCTCTTATGAAACAGCTATTTTAAAATATATGTGAAACTATACAAAATAGCTTATGGTTGGATGTGATGCCAACAGATTTCTAGTATTTTTTTACTAAGCAAACTGCATTCCACATCGAGTCAAGTTGGCAAAATATTTATGTGAAAATAAAAAAAACGTTCAAATAGTCAAGTGCCATTGGTCCTATAAATGGTGTTTTACATAATAACCATACATAAAAGTATGCTGTCGAAATACACTTTTTATCAATAATTTCTTGTATGCAGCATGGCACCATATTCAATATGCGCTACAACCAGATTTCGTTTGGGAGGAGAAGTTATTTTAGCAGACATATTGATTTTAACACTGTACAAATATCGATGAAGTTTTTTGACTCAATAATGAATGTAAAAATATTGCCCTTGTGAAAATAAAATTAAGCAGATGATATGACTAAATTCTATTTGAGCGGCTCCGCAATTTTTGCGTAATACATAATCGACTAAGGTCAATGATTTCAATTCCAGCATGTGACAATAACCACAAATATTATTAAATATATTGGTACAAATACCATATCTCGATTAAAATGAAAATATACAGACGAATTTCACTATTTTGATGCTCGAAACACGATGTTAGTTTGTCAAATGGTTGCTTGTTTAAATATTCACATGAGGGGAATTTTAATCTCGGCTATGAATGACTAAAAATAGAATGAATCACAGAGTCAAAATGAACAGTGATTAACGAGCGTTTTCATTGACCTATG